TGTGACCATCGACATGATCACCAGGCCATTGAAGGTTCATGCCGTGTCAAGAATGGAAAAAGCATGCTGAGGACTCAATACACCGAAATCTACCCAAGACGGTTTGCAAGAACTGTTGCACAAGTGTTAGGCAAAGGTAACCAATGCTGGCCATATAACTGGCAACCAGGAATGCTTTGCCTTGCAACCGTAGATGTTGGCGTCCCAGCGGCTGAGCCCAGCCTGGCAGTGACGAAAGTCCGGAAGCCACCAAGTTTTCCAAAATCGGAAGTGTTGTCTCCGCTTGCCCGATCAAAAGAAGATGCCAAGAGATCCAAAACGGATCCCAACCAAACCTTGCTGCCAACTCTTGAGATGTGTCAGGAAGTCATTCAAGCAGTAGGAAGAATCCTGCCTAGAGTAGGAAAGACAGAGGTCCATGATCAAGATGTGTTGAACATGTTGAAGAATGTATTTCCTGACAAACAAATCCACCGAGTGATGGCATGCCGGGGTACTGATAGAACAATGGCACCACCTCCTGGAATGCATCCGCAAGAGGCACCTTTCCGAAAGATGCTCATGCTGAGGAGGACTGGAGAAGTTCGCTTTGAAGCTCACTGGGAGAAATGGGTAGATCTATCGAAACGACAGCTAATAAGGCCATCCCATTCCTGTAGAATCAACATCACGGTGTTTGCTGTTGACCCCAAAACTACGGAGATCCCAAAGCCCCAAAGCAAGCCAGAACAGGAATGCCAGAAAGAAACGGCACCAGATCCTGCAAAAGCCGAGATGCATCCGGAGCCCAATGTAGACCAATTCGAGAGTCATTTGCATGAGACGCCTGCCCGCCGTGCGAAATCCGGCTCCGAAGAGGGCCTTTCTCCGAGCCATGTAATTCCTGTGCAAGTGGCCAAACCACCGAATGTGGAGCAAGTGGAAAGCGTTCCCGAAAGGCACACCAAATCGACACCTCCAATTTGCCCGAAAACCAGAGCTGAGGAAGGAACCAATACACCTCCCTCGGCGGCCTCGATGCCACCACCAGAGTGCGAGAACAACCAACATGGCCCACGATTCTTGGGTTTGCCAAAGTGGGAACAACAAGCAATCATCCGTATGCACAAGAACCTTGGCCACCCTTCAAATGATCGGTTATCAAGAGCACTTCAGGTGAGTGGAGCGAGACCAGAAATGGTTCAGGCAGCTTTGGAAATTAAATGTGCGACATGCTCAGCCACTGCTCCCCCGAAACATGCCAGACCAGCATCCCTGAAAACTATGATGGATTTCAACCACAAAATATACCTTGATGGAATCACATGGACCAACAAGATGAACAAAACTTTCCACTTCTACCACCTTTTGGACGCAGGAACCAATTATCACATTGCAATTGTCGCACCCTCCAAAACTTCAGAAGATCTCATCAACCTGATCAATCAACACTGGATTAGCTGGGCTGGACCACCATCAGAGATCACCGTGGACTCTGGAACTGAGATGAATAGCTCAGAATTTGCGACGTTCCTGCAACGCTTCAACATCAGGAGCACGACCACAGTGCCAGACGCCCACTGGCAAAGCGGGCGAATTGAGCGCCACGGAGGCTTCTTGCAATGCATGTTGGAGAAGGTTGATTTTGAACATCCTATCAATGACTACGCATCCCTCCAGAGTGCGCTGAACCAATGCACCCATGCCAAGAATTCCTTAAGCATCCGCCATGGATATGCCCCTGAGGTAATAGTGTTTGGTAAACACTCCAGAATCCCCGGTTCAGTGTTAAGTGACGAATCCATACCAGCCCATGAGCATGCACTGGATGAAAACCAATCCTTAGCAAGCCAAGACTTTCGTAGAATGCTGGCCTTGCGAGAAGCCGCCCGTCGAGCCTTCCACTCAGCCGACAACAACGAAGTGTTGAGACGTGCAGCACTGCGCAGGTCATGTCCCTCACGAGGTCAATTTGCAAGGGGTGATTGGGTTATGATATGGAAGCCAAATCCCCTGAAGCAAGCAAGATGGCAGGGTCCTTTCCGGGTAGTTCTCCAAGATGATAACCACACTGTATGGTGCACGGCAAATGGGAATCTCCACAGAAGTGCCCCTGAAAATACCCGGAAAGCATGTCCTGAAGAGGGTCATCCTGAAGGCCCTGAGCTACCCGAAGACATAACACCACTGACCCAACAGATTCATCGAATGCAACAGGCCATCGAAATACAAGACACTTCCACAGAAATTCCCCCAGAAAGTAATCACCAAGAAAATTCACCCAATACGATAATCCGGGACCCTAATAACCAGAACCTCAATAACTCCGAAAATCCCGAAAGCCAAGATGGATCCCTCCAGCCTGAGCCTGAAGATTTTACATCCGAGGGTTCTCAGCCAGAACATGCTGGCCCCAACGCAGACATGACCAATGATGATCCACTCCTTGCAACGACCGAAGTGATCCAACTTGCGTGCCAGGAGATAGACCATGCACTGACGTGTCATGCAGAAGATTCCCTGGCCTGGCGATGTGAGTTCGAAATTTCAAGACATGCCTCAATAGGTCAAGACCAAAATGATGAAGAGAGAAATTGGATTATGTTGGCAACCTCCTCCAAAAAGCAAAGAACCGAAGTAAAGTTGTCAACGTTGAGCAAAGAAGAAATCAAAGAGTTTGAGAAGGCCAAAGAAAGTGAGATTCAAAATTGGATCAAGACAAGTACCATAAGTGCCATTCTAAGAGACCAAATCCCAGAAGAGCAAATACTTAGATGCCGATGGATACTTACTTGGAAACCAATTGATAATGTAGGGGAAAACGACGAATCCAATAACCACCAGAAAAGTCACAAAGCCAAAGCAAGACTAGTGGTTCTGGGATACCTTGACCCCCGCATAGAAGAAATCCCACGTGATAGCCCGACCCTGAATAAGACCTCACGCATGATAGCTCTCCAAGTAATCTCATCTCATGCCTGGAAATTGCGATCCTTCGACATAAAGGCAGCTTTCCTTCAGGGCAAGCCCCAAGCCGATAGGATTATAGCAGTAGATCCTGTTCCAGAGTTGAGGCGTGCACTCCAACTGAAGCCACAAGAGATCTGCAAACTGAACAAAGGAGCATATGGACTCATAGATGCTCCATACTTGTGGTACTGTGCCTTGGTGACAGAACTCACGCGACTTGGATTTGAGACTTCGCCCTTCGATCCCTGCTGTTTCGTGTTACGATCACCACCTCAAGGTGACCAACCAGGTAAACTAGAAGGGATCCTGGGAATACATGTAGACGATGGTATTGGAGGAGGGAGCTCTTACTTCGAAGAAAAGATTCACCAACTAGAACAAAAGTTTGCTTTTGGTTCCCACAAAATTTCAGCTTTCACATTCACTGGAATCGAAGTCACCCAACACACAAACTACAACATATCCTTGAGTCAGTCATCATATGTCAGGAAGATCCCCTCAATCACCATAGAATCCAACCGAAAATCCCAACCTGAATTACCCGTCAACGAATCCGAGAGGCTGTCCTTGCGAGGGCTCATCGGGAGCTTACAATACGCAGCAATCAATACAAGACCAGACCTTTCAAGTAAACTCTCATTTCTTCAATCGGCAATCAACACAGCCAAAGTAGAAACTTTGATGGAAGCCAACCGAGTCCTTCATGAAGCCAAACGCAATCACGATGTTACCATAACCATCAAATCCATTCCAGTACAACACTTTCAACTCATGGCATTTTCTGATGCTTCATTTTCATCAGTCAAGAAACCTGACTCACACGCTGGCTCCATCATAGTAGGAACCCACCAAGATATCAGCCGAGGACTTGAATGTCCAATCAGTCCGCTTACATGGGGTTGTCGCAAAATCCAGAAGGTGGTGACAAGCACGTTATCAGCAGAAACGATGGCACTAGCCACAACCCTTGACCAGCTGTCGTGGCTTCGCCTGTTTTGGAGCTGGATCCATGATCCTCGGGTGAACTGGAAGAAGCCTGAAGAGACCCTTCCAAAACTTGAACCAGCGATCACCGTCCCTACTTTGATTCCCGAAAATGATGTTGCGATCACAGATTGCAAAAGCCTTTATGACTTAATAACCCGAACGGCCCCTCCAAGTTGTTCTGAGTTCAGGGTTCAACTAATGGCTAGGTCAATAAAGGAATCACTCAAGGAGGGCACGATGCTGCGATGGGTGCCAAGTGGAGCCCAGTTAGCTGACAGCTTGACAAAATCCATGGAATCCCACTTTTTAAGGGGAACCCTAAAGTATGGATTTTACCGCCTCAGTGACGAAGATGCCACCCTCAAGGAAAGAGCCCGGTCAAAAGACAGACTCAAATGGTTAAAAGCCCAAAATGAAAATAACCAGAGCGATCAAATACCTGCATAAATTTTCCACTTGCTTGAGTGTTTCTCAAAACAAAAAGAAAACATTTTTTTGGGAGTGTGATTTCCATTTGTGCAAGTACCATGCGATCCCTTGGGTTATCTCCAGGTCCAACAATAACCACTTGATGATGTTCAACCGCAGGTGTCAAGGCTCGGATTGCCTGGCAGCGGGAGGGTGGGATTTGTCCACCTTAGAGCCTTAGCTTCGGTGCACTTGACAGCACAGGGTGCTGCATAGGTTTTGGACGCGGCCGTCCTTCGACTTTGGTGCAGAGATTTCAGTGTTGCGGCAGGGCAGAAAACATAGACAGTGCGCTCCCATTTGGCTGGGTGAAGGGGACATTCATTGGACAGGGTTTCATACAGTTTCCTACATTCAAAGCCTGATCAGACCACTGCAGTTCCAACAGAGAGTTCTCTACCATTTACAATGTATATGCATATATATATATGTCTATATATATATATATGTCTATATATATATATATACATATGAACGTATGTATAAGTATATATTTATGTATATATATATATATATATTTATAAAATGTCACTCTCTCTAAAACACAGCAGTCTTGGTGTTTGACTCAACTTGGAACCCAATCAAACATTCCTGAGGATCCTATTTCAGGGCATGGGTGTGGCCTCTCGCTCGGTGATTTGTGCCCTCTCTCTGCTGGTGACTTGGCGACATTGTCGAATCAACCGTGGTGATGTTACCGGATTTAAGCATGAAACATGGCGATTTTACCATGAAAAATAGTGATTTAACCATGAAAAATAGCGATTTAACCATGAAAATAGTGATCTAAAATGTTTTTTTTTAATTAAAATGTGCAATTTCACCATCAACAACAACAATGACTTTACCATCAAAAATCATGATTTGTACAACTGTGAAACAAGAATGAATCATAGGGATTTACCGGGATATTCATGGGAATACAACCCATGGCAGCAAAAATCTCCAATACCTGAGGCGTTTCAAGCACCTGAGATGAAGTAGCAGGGTGTAAACAGGAAACCATGGAGAATTCATTGGGGTCATGTTAGATAATAGTTATAGTTATATAATTGTTATCAAAACTTGAGGGATCAAAACCACTCTATTTGTCTATTTGATTAAATTTTTGCTGTCGCGACTGCTCGGGGCAGCGTGGAACTTAAACTCTTGGTTCGGTGGTTTCACTTCATTACTGAATCCTTACCATACTTCCCATATCTTCCCATATAAATACATGACAAACATGATGATTTACCTAGCTATAAAATGGTGATTTTCCAGTTCGCTCTGTTAAACAACCAGAGGGTACCATAGTTCCCAGTATTGGATAGAGATGGGAAAAAGTGAGACGTCATAGGTACCATTGTGTACCAACAATCAGTTTCCATACTATTCTGAAGAATCATACGGCACTATCAATGATCAGCTGAATAGCAGTTTCCGGCGCATTGTAGGTCATACCCGGCTGCCGGTTGGTGGTTTCAATCATCGGTTGATCCCTCAATATTGATAGGTTATACGGTTATAGCCTATTTTATAACTCAAAAGTTGACCCCATGGGCCCCATGGCCATTATTTTTGATATCGAATAGCCAATCAGGTGTTGGATTCAAATGTGGCAACATGTTTTTCATTACCAGCCGATTCGTCCATGACAGCCGTGCCGTGCCGAAAAAACCCACCTTGAGGTCACCTTGGTCTACGTCTTTTCTTTAGCATTCACCCAGCTCTTGAGGTGCGAGGACTTGCCCCGGTCACGAAACCATGTTTTTTTTGTCCGTAATTCCAATGGAATCTCCACATCACTGGGACATTTGGGACCATAAATATGGATTCGGGGTATGGGATTCCTTCAGGCTCAAGATCCTATAGGTCCTATATGGAAGATGACAGGAAAGCAAGACGTACCCAAGGTGGTACCTTGTGGCGAGAGTGAGATTCATGACGATTCATGGGCCGAAAAAACCTAGGTAATAGGTAAAAGGCATCGTACGAATTGATGTCCCGAAGAATCGGGATAAACAAAAACTGGCTCCTTTTGTCTGGGCCACCTCGCCCTTAGCCTTCGGCTGAACCTTCGGGATGGCGATGGAGAGAGAGAAAGAGGGAAGGCCCATTAATTGAAAACTACTACCACTGGAAACACGATCACCTTCCACACACTGTTTTAGTGGTGAACACCAATGCAAGCCAATATGGAGTCTGTATCCATAGGGTATCCATCCCATTTCATCCACTGGTTAATCATCACTATCCCTATATGACAATTGCAATTTTTGGTGGTATACACCCAATTTTTAGACACAAATCCAAATGACATTTCAAGTTGGCCACTTACATCCCATGATATCCCCATTGATATCTCATTAACACCGCCAATTTCTGATTGTTGTCCCGTACGTTATGTAACATAGATGGAAGATTGTTCATGTATAGATGATTTATCATGATTTACCTATTGAAAAGGCTGATTTCCCAGTTCGCTACGTTAAATAACCAGAGGTATCATGCCCATCATACTGATTATGGTCGTTTTGATTAATTCCCTCCCTATCATAATGTCTATTGCTGATGGTCAAGTACCATCATTACCCCATATAATACACAGTACCAATATCCCAATTTCTGTTGGTTTCCATGATCTTCCAAGACTCCAAGACTCGAAAAAAATCATACCCTCTGGTAATTTGTTACATAGCTATTGAAAATGACCATAGAAATAGTGGATTTTCCCATTAAACATGGTCGATCTTTCCATAGTTTTTTGTTAGTTTACCAGAGGGTAGAATCTGACAGTTTGTCACCGGGTGAGGCCTCGGATTTTCGCATGATGAAATTGGGCGGCCCGGAGTTGATTGACATTTCCAGATCTTCCCGTGATTTTTTCCCACGAAATCACCACGAATTGTCATGGTTAAATCACAATGTTTACCAGTGAAGTCACTATGTGTCATAGGTAAAACATTTTTTTTCGATGGTTAACATCTATGGCAGCATCCTTGGTTTTCATGGTTAAACCATCACTTTTCATGGTTACATCACTATTTTAAGGGTGGTTTCTGGCTTGGAGCCTGCCACGTCGCACCTTGAAACCTCAGGGATACTCCAGCTGGCGATTTCTACTTCCCGAGTCTGACTCATGGCATGTTCGATGCTTAGTCCAGTTGTGGTTCTTGGTGTTTACCCTTTTTTTGTTGACAGCATAACTGGTTGGTGGTTTGGGACATGAATTTTATAACTTTCCATATATGGGGAATTTCATAATCCCAATTGACTTTCATATTTTCAGAGGGGTAGGTATACCACCAACCAGATAAATATATAGTAACTACTATATAATATAAACATTATTCATTTAATTTTGCGGCAATCAACACATAAGTATAATCACTATGAATTACTATAAAAAAACAGTTTTTGATTTTAACTATATACTTAACACAAACTGTCTTGTAAAAACTGTGGCGGTAAGCTCCCAGGAGAGTTTATGTACAGTATGGTGTGGGTTAAAAGCCCTGATGTTCGACTGTACGCGTATTTGTTTGATAATGGTTCATTATATGCCAAGTGCCAATTTTCGAAGAATTAGGGGTGGTTTCTGGTTTCTGGATTCATGTCGAGGTTGTTCTGCAGGAGGAAACTCTTGGAAGACCAGCCCTCTAGCAGCAGGAAACCACCGAAGTATAGATGCTAGGAGATACTCCCACGCAGGCTCAAAAAGGTAGAATTTCAACCCAGGTAGGACAGGCAAATGATTGACAAGGGTGAAAAAATGGTGGAAATTGGTGATTTAACTCCTGAAGATTTGCCAATGGTTCCTTGCTGATATTTGGGGAGCTGAATGCATGGATTCAGCTGGGTGCACCGATCGATTTTTTGACTACCCTCCGACGATTTAAGAGTTTGCTATGGAAAAAATGCTATGTAAAAGTCAGTAGTAGTTAAATGGCTATGGATCAATACCTATTAATACCATTTTTAGTGGGATGAACATCCATTTACCAGCTATTTTGATGTTCACCAGGGGTACAAGGTTTTGACCCATCCCCAAATCATCAAACTGAATGGGCCATTGTCCATGTAGCCATGTGAAACCAGAGGACCCCCCCCCATTGAAACTACCATCCACCTTCGAGGTTCGCGCTCTTCTTCCATGGCTGTCTTGGGGAGCAGTTGCCGGACATGGCCAGTGGCATTTTTGACGAAGGTTCCCGGATGCTGACGGGACTATGGCTGGAAAATTGGTCATGGAACAGGATCATATACCCTCTGGTGATTCAACATGGCTATTGAACATGGCCATACATGGCCCATTTAGTTAGTTTATGTTAGTTTAATGATTTGATGTCTTATCTATTGAACAAGGTGAGGTTCCACAGCTATTTTAGATTACCAGATGTTGGACAGTTTTGATTTTGAATGGGATGGGTGGCCATTTGCCCTGCGCCATAGTGCCATTGTCATGTGCCAGTGTACCAGCATATGGGTGATTTCGTTGGCACGGTGACGTTTTGCCATGCAGAAAGTGACACTCGAAGGAGATAGGAAAGCATCAGAAAAATATGCCGGGGCAAATTGTGGTGCCCTCACTGCAATCTCACCACAAATGATGTTCCTTATGGGAAATCATCCCCAAAATGGCCCAATTTAGCCCGATGTGCAAAGTCTATGTGCCGGGCATTGCTTAGACCAAACTTGCGGGCCGCATGGCATGTTCAGGCATAGATGTGGGCATTTGTCTCATGATTTTCATCTTCTTGGGACCTTTCACTGCGCCTTGGATTACCTTCGAGCCCCAAATCCCGTCTGAAGATGTAGGGTATTTGAAACACAGAAATAAAGAACTTCACTCTCTTGGTTTGTTGTTTGTTTGTTTATGATCAAAATTGAGGCACCTGAGCGTTTGAAGATTTTGAAGAAGGGTGCGAGATATCAGATGCAAAGGTCATTTCGCTTGATTTTGGGAATAGGGAACCATGTCTACACAGAACGACGACTGCTTTCAAGTCATCAGGAGTCAATCATCCCTGTCTAAACAGAACAAATAGAACAGCAACTTTGTTGCAACATACGGTAATCACACGGATGGAGATAGTCACTTTTCTGGTTTTGAGTGTGTCTGATCGGTTTTGAGTCCAGCGAGTGAGGATGGATCAGCATAACGACCCCCTTAAACTATCTTAAACTCACTCCCAGGGGCCCAAGGGTGTAAAAACAGGTGAAGGTAACAAACAGAAACATGTGCGTTTTGGGTCAAAGGGAACTTTAAGGAACTTTATGGAACTCTTCTTGAGCGACCGTGCCAAAAGTAGGCAACAGCCCTAACAGAAAGTTTTTGTTTTACCATACAATATGATGGAAACATATGGAAACATGATAGAACACCTAAATCTCTAGAATTTATCATATTGACCCCTTAAATTTACCCTTAGTAGTCTACCATAGTCTACCCAGGTGTCTTTTTATTTGTTTTTTTCCGTTCCCAGGTCATGAACATGATCGTGGCTGTGCTGGTGCATGTCGTCAGTTCAGTGGCGACCCTGCAACAGATCAACCAACAGAACGGTGACCTGGCGGCCTTCGGAGCCTTCCGACGCCTCCTGAGTGGCGATGGTGATATCATGGTGGTTTATATAACCAAGAAATGGTGATCATTTTTGAAAATTTTTGTTCCCCAAAAAATGGTGATTTCATGTGATTAAAGCAATTTAATCGGATATTGAAGCAAGAAGAATGGTGATTTCATGTGATTTCAGCAACACACATGGTGATAGAACATGATTCATAGCCATTGAAGATTGGGATTTTAGTGGGATATTGCTTGGGTATAATTATGGGATAATTAATCCACTTGACATGACACGTGGCATTTGGAAAAGGGGTAGTATATGCCGCAAATGAGGCAAATGTGGTTCTTTTGATCATTAGAGATACTGATGAATCACTGAGTAACCGGTGGATATAGGGGTAGACAAACTCATGAACTGCAGCTGGGGGTGCAGTTCCACTTCGTAAGTGGGTATATCATGTAAGCGATAGCTATTGGGTTGTATCCATGGTTATCCTCCATATATTTATGAACCCAACCACGACAGCACTCATACTGGTCACCCAAACAAGATACCCTCTGGGAAACCACAGAACTATGGAAAATCACCATTGCTAATGGGTAAATCAACTATTTCTATGGCCATGTTCAATAGCTTTTTGTGTCAGTTGCCAACGTGGCATCTGGAGATGTTTAGATTGGGCGTTCACGGTCCGCTCTCCAGTCATCACTTTGGCTCAGTTGGAATGGATTTTTCGACGTGGGATAGGAAGGATGGTACTCCTGGGGTGCGGTACGGCATCCCAATGACCATCAATGACCATCAATGACCCGACATGTCCCGATGTTTCGAAAAGAAGTTTCAAGATAAAAAGGGTATCAGATGTATCAGCCATGGAAGCAGAGAAGAAAGGCACACAGAAGATCAGAAGACATCAGAAGACTATCAAATTTCACAGTGAAGTTGAACATATATAAGTATATAGTCTGAACGGTTCGCAGTGATATACGAACATCTATATGTGTTGGACTGATGTTCTTTTAGCATGGGTTGAAAGATGTTGACACCATCTGCTAGCGTAACTAGAGTGTCATCCATGGATGTCATGTGTGGCTTCGCGGGCATTGTTAACATAAACATCTTCCGGCACCGACTCTGGGGTTCTGGCGGTGTTCACAGCCAGGTATTATCCGAGAAAGGCCACCCGGATGCAGATGGCCTTTCCCGCAGAGTCGATCACCAGCCATGGTGAGGTCAACATGCCCTCGTTTGAGTAGGGTCAAGTGTGAACATCAAACGGAGCAAGACAAAATACCAGAATCGTGAGCCATCGTGAGCCCATAACTGAGGCGTTGAATTTTTGGGCCGCAACCATTAACTAAGGGGCTTGGTATGCTTTGTCTGGCAACAAAGTAAGCCCCAACGAACCCTGGTCGATGAATGTTGATGCATCAACGGATGCCCAAAAAATATCAACAATCCATGATTTCACTCCGGGTTGACATCAGACGATTCGCCGCCTGAGGGTGTTCCAAGTCTTGAAGGAATTGGACACGGACAACGATGACGTCATTAGCCAAGATGAGTTCAGGACTGTCACAGTGCCATGGGAAGTTATTGAATGGGAGCCCCTACAAAGTGGTTGCCTAAGTTATTTTATTACAAGTATTACTCATATTTGTCGTGTAATATGCTATATGTATCTATATGTGATATGTGTATATGATATGGTTACAACGGATTCATAGACAAACTTACAACCGAGAGGCCAATGATGAACATGTCTGGAATTCCTTGGAAACTAGCCTTCAGCAGCAAGATGGATGTGCAGAACCATTGCAGAATCATTGAAACTACCATTGAAACTGGTTGGTGGTTAATGATGGCTAATACCTGGGTGATGAAAACATGGTTAATGATGGTTGATGATGGTTAATGGTTGTTAATCAATAGTGGTTAATTATCTGGTTGGTGGTTTGGAACATTTTTTATTTTCCCCAATAGTTGGGAATGATGATTTAGTCTGACTAATTAACATTTTCAGGGGGGTTGAAACCACCAGCCAGGAAACTAATTCTGAGGGTAACTCCAATGCTCTATCTGTCTACTGTACCTATTTGGTAGAGACTTAAACCCTATCCTATCCCCACCATAGGGGCAGCGCAGAATTAAAACCCCTAAAATTCTGGTACGATTTATTTGGATATGGCGCTGGGGCGGTGTTTTTGCATATGCTCTCATAGGTTTTGGCTCCACACCTTCCAGCGGTGAACCTGTTTGCAACTGATAGTGGAGACACCGTTCCCTCAAACCCCATGGATATCCACATCCGTGCCACTGCCCCGGGCAGCAGATTCAACATCGTGGCATCCATCGAAGGACATCAGCATGGAGTTCTGTGCTGCAGAGGACTGTCGCCAGATCAGCAGTTCTTGGTGAAGAATGCCCCGACCCTTGAGGAGGGCATTTACACGTTTTATGACCTTGAAAAGAGTGCGGAGGTTTCACAGACATGTGTGTTTGCAGGCATCACCGAAGCTTTGAAACATCACTCAAAAGGGGATGTCAGCAAGATCCAAATCATTGACCTTTGCAGCGGAATGGGAGGTTTCACGATAGGTTCCCAAGTGCTCGGTTTAGAAACGAAGGCATTTGTGGAAAGAAATCACTTGGCTTGCCTGGCTTTGAAGGCAAATTTTGATGGTGACATCATTCAGGGCGATTTGGAAAATGATGAAATTCTGAAAAGGCTGCATAGGCTGAAACAGAGTTGTCACCTGCAAATCACAGGTGGATTTTCATGCCAGGGATATTCCAGGCAAGGCGACATGCTTGGATTGGATGATCATCGAAGCCACACTCTCCAAGGAATCTTGCGGTACTGGAGTGTGTAGCCAACGTCATCAACTTCCCCAGCACACAAGAACAACTTGACCGCCATGCTCAAGATGCACGCATGACCATTGCCAAGCAAGTCTTTGAGCCAGTCAGGCGATGCAGATTCTGGTGCCACATGTTGTCGGAGAACTTTCCAGTGATCAACATCCCTTCCTGGCCCATCTCCAAGGAGTACATCAAATTGAAGGACGTCATGCCTCTTGACGCTATCTGGCATCCTGAAGAAGAACAACAACTGGAATGGGATGAAAGTGAGCTTGCCATCTATTTGAATCCAACCTATGGCAATGATCAAAGAATTCTTCAACCAGATGATCAAGCCCCAACAATGCTCCACAGTTGGGGACATGTCAACAGATCTTGCCCTTGTGGTTGCCGAGGTGCTTTCAGTGATGCCAGACTCAGAAGTGGCGGTGCTCGTGGATTTGGACTTCTGTCTGCGTGCACTGGCTGTCACAGGCATCTTCATCCAGCAGAAGGAGCCCTGCTTTGCACCGTTCCACCAGACTTTCAGTTCCCGATGCCAATGGGATCAGCGCTGAGCCTCTTGGGGCAAATCGCTGCACCACTTCAGGTGCTCTGGGTCCAGTCTCACATTTTGGCTGGCCTCCAGCAATTTTCTTGGGGATGGACTGGCATTGACCCATCCAAGTGCATTCACATCTTCAAGCAGTACCTGGTGCAGCATTCAATGCGCAAATGGGTCACACCATGTATGTACCTTCTAAGAGACGTCCATGTTCAGGTGGACGGGGAGGATCAAATCATGGCCATCACACTCAACAGACCAACCACTGCCAGGGACTTGGCCATGGCAGAGAAAGCGCTGTGTGGATGGGGACACTTTGCCATTGTGCCACATCAAGGCCAGCGGATCCCATTGGACTGAATGCTCCAGCCCAACATCCTGTACCAGATCCAACTACGCCAAAGTGCACAGGTCAAGCCTTTCAACCCCTTGAGTGAGGTCCTGGGAGGTGGATTCCATCATGCATCACAGGGACTTGGAGACCGAATCATTTGGACTTTCATGAAGGCACTTGTCACTCACAAAGCACAGCAATCACACATGCCTGCACCATGGATCATCTATCCATTCAGAACGGTATCAATCCTGCAAAGACAACTTCCAGTCGAGGTTCAGCAGTCTTGGACGGAAAACTATCAACGCTCCAACGGCCAAATCTTTGTCATTTGCGAGATCTATGACCATTGGATTTTGTTGCTGGGCCAGAAGCAGCAGCAATCTGATGGACTTTCATGGACCTTTCACGATGGACTTCGACAGGGTCATCTGCTCATGGTTCTGGCGGAGGTGGCACAGAAGAATTGGAAATGCCCTGGACTTGGACTTTGCGGGCATCCAAATGGGTCATGGACTTTGTCAAACCCAAGAATCCACCTGTGGCACCATCGCCTTGGTTCAGATGGCACTGGACTTACGCCTTATCGCAGTGGATGATACCCATGATGTGCTTCACACATTCTGAAGGTCAGTTCCGACCTATCACCTTGCTGTCCGCTTTGTACCGAAACTGGGCCCGGCTCAGGACCAAACAGATGGTCCATCAATTGTCCAAAGTGATGCCGCCGGAAGCCCTTGGTTTTCTTCCGGCAAGGGAGGCGGCACAAGTGTGGCTCAATCTTCAAGCTCAGATCGAGTTGATGATGCAGCAGAACCAAAACTATTCAGGCTTGTCCACAGACTTGAAGAAAGCTTTCAACCACATCGGAAGAAGGCAAGTTTTCAAGGTTGCTGAGAGGCTGGGGATGCCAGAACCCCTGCTCAATGCGCGGCAGAAATTTCTGGGAGGAGTCACTCGCAGATTTGATGTTCATGGAGACCTTGGTTTGGAAATTGCATCTTCCTCAGGATTTCCGGAAGGGGATCCGCTTTCCATCATAGCAATGCTCGTAGTGGACTGGAGTTACCACACATACATGAGAGTTTTCTGTCCGAAAGTTTCGGCCTACTCGTTTGTGGACAATTTGACACTAGCTGCAAGAGAAGCACTGCACGTAGCACATGCGTATTTTGCATTGCGGACTATTTGTCAACTTTTTGGACTCTCTACGGACACAGAGAAGACTTATGTGTGGGCGCTATCCTCACCTGAACGACAACGATTGATGCAACTGCAATTTCCCTGCCTTTTTGATGCGAGTGAACTAGGTGGTCCAATAACTTTTGGGGCAGCAAGAAGAAACCGAGTTCCCAGAGCTAGAGGTGAAAAACTGGAGACCAAGTGGGAGCGACTTCGATGTTCGCGAGCTCCACAACTTCAGAAATACAATGTTCTCCCGGTCTCCCCAAGGTTTTTTGGCCACAGGCACTGCATGGTGCCAACAACTGCAGCATTGCTGACACATATGCCCTGGCTCTCAGGCGTGCAGCAGTCGAGGCAATTGGAGCTGGCGGTGCTGGATCAAACCCAATGCTACGCTTAATTCTCTCAGATGATATGGCGAATGACCCTGGCTTCTATCAACTCAACCACTGCATCTCCACTTGGAGAAGGATGCTGAGGAAATTTCCTGATCTTCTTCCAACGTGGAAAGTTTGGGCGCATACTTTTTCTGGCAAATTCTTTCCAGGACCTTTTTCCAAATTACTTCAATGTCTTTCTGGAATTGGATGGTCATTGGAGGAACCGCCAATAGTTTGCGATCACGAGGGTCACAAATGGGACTTGATGAACATGGACAACAAGACACTCACTACGGTCTTGCAAGATGCATGGTTGCAATTTGTGGCCTGTCAGATCAAGCACCAAACTATGCAAGGACTACATGGCATTGAGAGATCGCTGACTTTACTGGATACTGCTCAGATGTCGCCACTTGACAAAGCCAGACTCCCAGCATTGCACTCAGGCGCATTCATCAGCAACGCCGAACATGCCAAGTATGACATGGAGAAATTTGCCATATGTCACATCTGTCGCCTCGAGGATGACAGGGAGCATTGGCTCATTTGCCCACGTTACCAGCACATTCGGCAGTCAATTCCTGGCTGGTTTCCAGACAATGTGGAGCAACCACGCTGCGTGCTCAACCACCTTCTGGTCTCCAAGCTGGAACCTCTGGTGCACTGGCGACAGATGCTCTATGAGTTGCTTGATGAAACACAGAACTTTTATTTTGAACCACCCAAGCAAGGATTGCAACACCTTTTCATTGATGTGTTGAAACTTTTAAGGAATTGCAACTTGCGGCTTGGGCGGTAGTTTGTGCCACCGAGGGGCAAATAGTATCAAAAGGGTTTTTACCAGGGATCACTCAATCTATCGACAGAGCTGAACTTACAGCACTGCTTAATGCCGTACGTTGGGGAGCGCATTCTGAAGTGTCTCTCTACATCTGGTCTGACATCCAATCTACGGTGCGCATTGCTCACTACTTGCTCCGCTACCACATGGTCCCGGATGCAGTGGAGAACTTTGATCTCTGGAGCCAAGTGCTTGAGGCACTGGATGACCGAGATGGAGCTGATACCATTGTCAAATGGATACCATCACATCTGGACTCCTCATTGACGGAGGATAGCTTTGAAGATTGGGTTGCGGACTGGAATGATATGGCTGACAAGCTGGCGACGCACACCAACTATCAGCGTGATCAGTGCGTCAGATTGCAATTGACTGGACTGAGAGGGATTATGGAGACACAGGCCACAAGATTGAGACAGCTTCGGCAGTTCTTTTTTACAGTGGCTGACCAGCCAAAGGATGCGAGCAACCATGACATCTCTTCGGATGAAGAGGCTGGTTGGCCCTGGATACCATATGAGGAAAACCTGCCTCTGAATTGGCGGGTCAAATGCCTTCATGGTCATTTCCTGTTCCTGGCATTTTCTTGATCGCCATCATTCAATGGGTCTGCGCTGCTGAGAGACAAGCGGGATCTGTGAGAGTCCTTAGTGACTTAGAATTCGTTTTTGCTCTAACAATTGACCAGGAATGCCAGTTTCCGTTTCAGGTGGGAGGGACGTAGGGTTGTACAATGCAAGCGCCTCAGTTTCTTTTCCAACGCCCCACCGTGGTCATTTTGATGCGAGCTGTTCAGAGTGCAATGAATAGTTTAGCTCAACTTTTTCCAAGCCTTTTTATCAGGACTCCTCCTGCTTCGACACCAAAGTCGAAGGTTTTTATGTCATTTTCAGGTCTGAGGCTGCATTGCCCGGATGATGTGACATGGAGAGAGGCACAGAATAGGCGCTTCACTGACAAGAGACCAGTGAGGCGAACAGGGGACCTATCACGGCCTCTGGCTTGAACCGAACATTGGCAGCCGCGCACTGCACCGCTGTGCCGGTCGCCAAGCAAGATGTCCGAGCTACATATGCTCCCATGATGGGGGTCATGCATCACCATAGGGCGATCTGGGGTTGCATGCCCACATGACAACGACGATGGCTTTTCCGGTTCCCATTCCTGAAGCTGTGGCTCAGTTCCATCATGTTAGATTCACTGGACACACTGTTGCAACATTTTCCAGATCTTTTTATGGCTCCACATATTTCTATCTTGAGGTGAACCAGTTGGATTATTGATGCGTTTGATGCCTCGCGGATCTTGGAAGACTTCATATCAGTAATTCAACAGGGCCCATTCCTATGCCTCATACCAACTGCTTATTTAACATAGCCCTGGAAAATCCATTATAAATGGAGGTTTAGAGCTGGGAAAATCATCTATTTCTATGGGCCATCTATACCATGGCTATGTTAAATAACCAGAGGGTAGATGTTCCGATTTCCCCATTGGTTGACAGCTGGTAGATCTCCGGCCACGACAGGACCATCCTGGATCAGAGCCATGCAGCAATAGTCATGACAGCTCAATGACTCATAGGCTTAGCATGGCTCAGCCACTGACTTCTATGATAGGATATATATATATATATTATATTAGGAATATGGTGATCCATGGTGCTTCAACAATGATTAGATGGCCATTACTGGCACATTTGAACATATATAGACCATGAACTTTGTCGCGGAGCCTCAGCCAAACCGCCGCTGGCACCGCCGCTGTTGATTTTTTCACCTCAGGAAAGAGGCGCTACACACCTTCCTTGGGGTTGGAGTCGATGTGATTGCCATCATCAAAGATCCGGACATCGTCTTCGGAGGCGAAGGGCGGGATATATATATATAAATAAATATATAAATATATATATAAATATATATATAGTATGAATATGTACATATATATATATATATTATATATCGATTATATCGAACTCCTTGAGGTGGCGATGGAGAGAGAGAGAGAGAGATGAGAGAGGAGAGAGGAGAGCGCGGGGGGGGGGGGGAGGGAGGGAGGAGGGAGGGAGGAGGAGGGAGGGAGGGAGAGGTAGGTAGGTAGGTAGGGATAGGTAGGTAGGTAGGTAGATAGGTAGATAGATAGATAGATACATAGATAGATAGATAGATAGATAGATACATATACACACACATATATATATACACATTCTGTATATGTATATATGAACGCAACGCACATTAATCTACCCGTGGTTTTTCAGGGCACTTGAGTCACAATTTAAGCAGATGAAAGCAGTTCTTTTAAAACGTAGGTGAACCATATGAAAACTTTCAGAAACCAAAAAAGACGGACATGTGACTCATGTGACATCATGGATGCAAAATGGTTTGCCTCCAAAGTTCCCAACATACCGTGTTTTAGCACCTCATTTCCCCATCCTTTCCCACTGACAACTGGTCGAAAATTTTCACAACGTGTCCGATCGAGGTGAGCACTCTTTGCCCATCGATGAGGCGGGTCTTTGAAAGGGTTACCATGTTTGTTAAAACAGGTAAATCATCTACAAAAGAACGGGTGGCTATGTTGGCATATGTTGGTGAAAATAGTTAATCAGGGGCTGATGTAGGGGGATGCAAGTCTGGATGGATTCCGGGGGGGCTTCTTCGAAGCTGAAAAGATGAATTTTGCCACTTAGAAGCTCTTAGAAGCAGAAGGGTTCTAAGAAGCTAAACATACAATTTAAATCAAAAAGAAAACTTATCTTCTAAGAAGGCCTCTACTTCTAAGAGGCTGCTTCTAAGAAGCAAAACCCTTCTAAGAAGCCCATGCAGCTTCTAAGTGCTTCCGCGAAGCAAAAAACGCATCCATCCCGCGTTCCCACCAGAACTGCGTCCCCTTAGATTGGGCCCTCAGTTAAATCACCTATATTTATCTATATATATTCTGTATACATTGGTCATGTTCCAGAGTGTCAAACTATTAGGCATCTATTTCTCGCATAGTAGCAATCCCGGCACTGGACGCCCGAAGAAAAACATAAAAATCAACTTTATACTTGGTGTTCCTCGAAGAATATTCAGGATTTCTTCATATTTCTTTGGATTTCTATGGATCTTTATCCAGGTGAGATTATTTGTTTATATTTGTTTATTGTTCAGTGGCTAGTAACTGGCGAACTGGGGTTGATGGCCACATCCCATTCCCCTGTTCATAGTAAACATCCCCAAACGAAATCATGATGCTAAAAATGTAGGGGATAAAATCACATGTGACTGGGCCGTAGAATGGGGATGTTTAGATCCCATTAAAACCCAGTTTTCCATGGTTAAATCGTGTTCTTCGTGCTGAAATCCATATATTTAAGTCATGGTTAAATCAGTTAAATCAGTTAAATCCCTTATGGTTTGTAACAATCCCTATTTTTCACATTAAGATCCACATCTTTTTTAGTTAGGAATCCACCCAGTTCAACGGTCGTTATGACTTGGCCAAAAAGACCCGGCCAGGTCATGGACGAAGTCATCGCCTTGCGTGGGAGCAACTTCACCACGGTGAAGGTGCGAGTGAATGGGAATCCAATGGGAATAGCACGGGTAATTCATATGTGAATATCATGGGAAATGTATGGGAAATATATGGGAAATATATGGGAATGGTGATTTTCTGTTCATGTGATTGATGTTTCATCACTTAAATTAGAAGTCTTGTGATCTTTAAGGATGGCTGGGAATGAAGATCATCCCTTCTGGGAGTAATCGGATATCAACATGAGTGCGAATTCACATGGGAATATAACTTGACTATCTGAACATTGAGATCGCATGTGTATATATATATACATATGTATGGATAATATATGAATATATAACTATGTAATTTTTATATCCTCTTGGTGCTCTAACAATATCCATGGCAAATGGCAATGTTTAATAGCGATATCATCTACAAGTTGGTGTGGTGATCCATTGCTATGTTAAATTACCACAGGGTATGCCATGATATATCCTCCAATGTGGGGCCCAAATCGGAATCAGTAGCTAAGCTGGTTTATAAGTAGGTTTGCTGGGGCTGATGATGGTGGTTGTATTCACTATGCTTAGATAGTTCAAGAAACCAAGATTACGCTGTAAGTTCGGGGGCCTACTTTGTACTAGACTAATAAAAGTTCATCTTGAGGCATTGAGGGGTACTGGGGTCCCATGGTCAACCATGGTCAACCATGAGAATCGCAACCACAACAAACAGTGACTCACAAGGATTTAGCCGGCCAAAGAATTGGTTTACTGGGGCTTGGGTGAATCCACATATATAATCACATATTATATGTATAATTATATATATTTATATTTTACATACACGGCTAAAACACAAACAAATAGAATAATATAATGTTTTGATTGGCAACTGCAAGATTTCCGCTAAGCAATGTGTGGTATATTTTTCTATGCGGAAGGCTTTGGGTCTCGGGAAGTGGGCACTGAGAATCTGCAATTGTGGGAGTGTCCTGGTTGCTGTTTCATGCTGTCGCTTGGGTAACACCTCGGTGAATGAGAGGTGAACGCGAATCGATTTGCGACGCGACTAGACTAGGGCGCACAATAGCATCAATAGCCAGCTAAAAAAAATGCAGAGTTTTTTTTTGTGTTTGCCATGTATTCCTATGTATTCTGTGTTCTCATTTTCTGCCATGTTCTGCCCATGTTTGGAACGGAAGAGCATGTTACCTGTGGGCACAGGACTTGGTTCAGTTGAAGAACCAGCTGGTCCGTGAACTTCGCCGAGTGAACAGCCAGCGACGGTTTTTAACGACCCGTTGAGTCGTTAAAAAATCGCCGGGCTGGTCCTGGTTGTGCAGCTTGGCATAGCTTGGCTGAGTGGTTTGGTGGTGAACTGTGGTGAACTCGTTGGGTGAGAGATTCATGTCATCCATAACAACCATAACATGTCTTGGCTGGTTGTTCAAGGCATTTTGGGCATCCTCAAATATCATCAAATATCCACTATGCAGAGTGAGAATGACAGAACTTTGCCAATTGTTCTTTTTGTGTGGGAACCAGCTGACATCAAAATCAGAAGCTGTTTCACACCGGTCTCATGTTGCCGATTGGGCGTTGAGTTCCAGTGCCGAGGATGTATTTCACTTGGTGCTGATGGCCGATGCAGCCATTTGTTGCGCGGCGCTAGTGCCATGCTCAGAATAGCACAGAAGAGCAGTACTTTGACCAAGTGATACACTTCGTGAAGCGAGATGCATCCAGATAAGCGAGGGCAAACCATGGTTTGTTCAATTGCGATACTATTTGGTTGTCAGTTTTCTACCGGGGGAACATCTCTCGCCGAAAAACACATGGTTCTGAAGCACTGCTCATTTGTATAATCCGCCTCTTTTTTTTGGAGCTCACCGTCGCTTAAAGCGATTCCGGGACCTGGCTCCTTGGAACGGCACTGAGTGGTAGCCCGGTAGCCCTGCTGTCAATGTGCTTCTCAGTCATCCCTAGCCGTTGCCAAGACATCTCAGTTTGTGTCGGACACGTCATTGTTTTGATGTTTGATGCTGCCACCAAATGATGCAAGCAAGACCTGCTGGAAAGCTTTCCACGCACTCCCGTGCGCTCCGCACGATGCGTGGGGAGAGAAAACAACCGATGTGAAGTTGTGCAGAGCCGTATAGATCCCAAATGATCCCAATGGGTGCGGCTAAAACTGGCAAAGCTGGAAACGTAAAGAATGTTTGCAGTTACATCTGTCAAGTTGCGTTAAGAGAACCCTCCCTAACATCATTTTTAGCTAGCTCGATATATTTATCATGATATATCATGATATCATAAGCCTTATATCCTTGTATTAGTCATAAACCTAAACATAAACATCCATGCAATCGATCGAACCGATGAAGTTTTTGGCTCGAGGGAAGCCCCATCAGTCATGGATAGTAATATTATTTTCCTCCGGGTTTTCCCTGAGATTAGGCTTCAGGTTAGATGATTGCCCTTGCTATTTTAATCGGAAACAGTGTTTCCAGGATGTTAGTTTGATGATATTTCCCTCTACATGCGGATTTCTATGTTTTTCTATCTATGACTTGAGGCTGCAACTAATTTCATGTGGAACATTCAGAACTCCAGAAATCCAGGTGTTCGCAGAAATCCAGGTGTGCGCAGTCTGTGAACCAACCCTAAACAGTTAGAAATTCTTAGGCCGGTGATGGTGGATCAAGCCCTTAAACAAGATCCATTGCTTCAAAAATCCCAAACGAAGTCTGAAATTCTGATTTGCGGTGGTCGAGATCCCACATGTCATATGTCTGAAATTACCCTCTGGTAAACTAAGATAGTTTTAGAAAATCACCATTTTTAAGAACGGTAAACCATCTACAAATGGGCCATCTATACCATAGCTTTTTGCATGTTTACCAGAGGGTATCTGACATTGGTGATTGGATCCCAGATGAATCACCACAGAATCGACCCAAACACATCCTTTGCGAACGCCGACCCCCCGACCCCTCGCTCGAAAGCCATGACGGCTGCACGCCGAACGCTCCAACTTTTGCATTTGGCCTTGCTGGCAGCTGGGCAAACGTACCTTGGCCAGGTTGTGACCTGGACGTTGCTTAAACCAATGGGCTGGTCATATTCCTGATGTCTCTAGCATTTGGTAAATCCATGTAAATTCTTAGCATCGTGATATGTATGCACATTGCATCCATATCATGATACAAAAATGGGCTTTTTGAATCTTTTTGATTGTTTTACACATTGCTTTATAGTACTACCGCTGAGCATCCAATGGTTGAAGGGAACATCTACTTCCTGGAATAGCTGCGATCTAAGCGCTGGCCAGAGAGAGATGAGAGAGAGAGAGAAAGAGAGAGAGAGTAGCTGTTTGAAAGCTAAGTTTCTATCAACCAATCGTTAAATGATGTCAGATGTTTTTTTTAGGGGTTCTGGATTGAAATTGTGTGTTGTGTAGTAATGGTCCGTTTCATGGGGCAAATCCTTGAATTCCAGAAATACGACCAACCGATCGCAATTTCGGGTGTGAAGTCTAATTTTTCTAGTCCAACTTCCACTGGTTCACCAGGCAAATTGGTGTTATTTTTTTAGGGATCTGCCGATCTGCCCTTTCCAATGTGCGCTTTTATGGGATTAGCTCCGAGCTTTTGCCCCAGAACTAGGTGTCTGAAAATCCATTCAGGAACTACAAAATGTGGTGGTGTTAGAAGTCGACTAGAAAAGTTGACTTCTCTAAGTTCAACAAAACCAATCCAACTATATGTTGTACATTATGATAATCATTGATAGATATCTTTGTTTCGGAAGATGTTTGCCATAGCTCCACAGTGACCCTAATGGAACCCAACGTACCGGTTGATGGTTTTAAGATGTTTTAAGAATTAAAACAGGGAGAGTGAAGTGCAGGGCGCAGTCAAACAACAGGGATATAACCAAACTTAATCAATGCGAATTGAGGGATCAACCAACTGTACTTGGCTTAACTATATGTTTTTGCCAGAATAAAGTGCAGGGCGCAGTCAAAAAACAGGGATATAACCAAACTTAATCAATGCGAATTGAGGGATCAACCAACTGTACTTGGCTTAACTATATGTTTTTGCCAGCCTCTCCGGAAATCAGTGTTGTATCCAATTATATCACATATTAATTATCCCATTATATCATATCCCCATATAAAGATTTTTTTTGGTTCCATATGCTGAAATCACCCATATTCCGAATAATCTACATTTTGTGGTTGATTAATTATTGTTGGTTCATACAGTTTGTTTCCTATTTTTGGAAGCCCCGGCAAACATTTTAAAAAACAACATACCGCGACCCTACTTAGTACCATCTTAACTAAATAGGGGACAACTAATACTGTGGGTTGTCTATTCCCATTTCATTTCCTATTAGATGTACAATTTTCGCAACTTTGTTGGTTTTATAGCTGCAATTTGCTGATGAAGACCTCCCATGAAATCTAAAAAAGGGTGTGGGCGACCGCTCCCATTTATGTATTGCTAATTCCTCATGTTAAATGATTAAAGCCCCAACATATTGCTGGTTAAGTCCCGGTTTCTGATGATTTAAGTCCAGGGTAACTGTAAACCTTTGATTATTCATGTTAAACTTTCTCTTTTGCAAGTTGCGTCCTAATAAGTATTGATGCAGTCCCAATTCTTCCCATTAAGTTCAATTTGTTTGATGATTAAATCAAATCTGAATTAAACTTTGTGTTCGCCGGTCGGGTAACACATTTGGCTGGCTATGTTTGCTTCTTAAATCATTCTGAAATGCATTTAAATCCCTACTTTTCTTGGCTAAATCCAATGTTTTTCATGGTGAACTCCACATTTAAATCCATCAAACAATCCCATTTTGACATGTCAAAACATGTTAAACCATGTTAAACCTATTTTTTACATTGTTGAATCCTTAGTTTTCGCGCTGAACTCCATATGTTGTAAATGAACGTTTGAATGGGAAAATCCTGGAGGTTCAACAGGGGACCATTCTCTGTAGATTCGAACGTTTGAGTTGTTGAACCGATTTATATATCCACATTTTCCCATAGTTACCAATATCATTGGGGAGAAATAACCCATATTCCAATGATATTTTCCCATAGTATCAACTATTATATCACATAAAAATTCTATAAATTCTCGGAAGATATTATATGAACATAACCAATTTTCTATATTTTTTGTTCCCCAGCATTTTTGGCGATCCCTTCCGAGCCTCGAGGAAGGTGAGTTGCGGTGGTCACGAGGCCGCCAGCTGTGCCCAGTGCGTTCAGGAGAACGTGGCAATGGAGGAGCTGGGGACCCGGGCAGGAAATCGTGGGAAAAAAGACAAAAATGGTGATGGATGGTGATGCAAATTGGTGGAAATCGTGATTTAACTATCAGACAAATAGTGATTGAACTCTTCGAACATGGTGATTTAGCTATCGAAGATGGTGATTTTGAGCATCAAAGATGGTGATTGAAGTGATTTTTGAGTGGAATCTTATGGGAAAAGCATCAACATTCTTTGGATTTCTTCCATGAAACATTAGGACATAATGACTTGATGGAATATGACATGAAATCGTATGAAATCAGCAAACAGTTTGTGGATGTTAACTGGGAGTTATACTGTAACTGGATAGGAGAGCGCATAACGTTATATTCATGGAATATGATTCCGGATATAATGGAATATATATTATCCCATTATATCCACAATCATAGTCCATATTATGGATATGTGACGATGCAAACATATATTTATTGAATAAAATAGAACGACCGCAGATGTTGGGCAGCAAACTGCGGATTTTATGGGCAGAGACGCAATGACACAATATGACACAATATGACACAATATGACACAATATGACACAATATGACACAATATGACACAATATGACACAATATGACACAATATGACACAATATGACACAACATGACACAACATGACACAACATGACACAATGTTTTTTAGAGAAAACATATATGTACAATGATGTATAAGGATGTAAGGATATCCTGAAATCATGGTTCAACAACTCGATGTTCAGCAGCAAATGTACACATATTTGAATCTATATTTAGGCACAGCTTTTTTACAGCATGCACAGCCAGTTCTGCTGGGAAAATGTGATCATTTTCCTGGTTTGTTATTTTTGGGGTCAGAAAATTGTTGGGATAGCCTTGAACTGGCACTTGAAAGAAATTAGGTGCTTTGCCGCACTTGCTCGCCGTTATTTAATCCTCAAAGGTGGCCCTTTTAGTTTATGAACACCAGCCCCATAAACCCTAGTTGACCTAGTGAACTAAACCAACTTAGCTATTGTTAGGGGGGCCCATGTAACCTCGTATGTTTTTAATTTTGCATGACCAGGAAGAACCAATCAGATCAGTTGAAAGTCACAACTGCAGCAGGATGCCCCACTATTCTGCAATGGCGATGCTTGGATGTCCGCGGGGGATATACCCTTTGGTAAACGAAAATTGTATTTAAAGAAATCACCACAGTTCATAGGAAAAAAACACCATGCCCTTTGATAAACAACAGTTTGCTGTGGAAAATCACCATGTTTAAAAACGCTAAATTCTCAATAAATTGCATAAAACAGTTGTTGTTCCATAATCATAGTTTACTGGATGATGTTCGATGGTTGGATGTTCTGCAAGGGTAGGCCCAGGGTATTAAAAAATTGGCCAGAGAGGTGCGGATCGTTCCAGTCTCAATTGAAAAGGATTATTTATGTTAGATTTTTTACCATGCCATCAGACTTAAGACACTTAAGCGGCCTTTGATTATCATGGGGCTTCTTCTTGTTTGCGGTGCAGGAGATTCAAAAAACCTGTGAACATGTGGGTTCTTTGTCAAATCCCTGGTGTTTGATGGTGTTTATCCTTGTGCAGCGCTTTGATATTTCTTTAGAACTTGCACTCTGTGACGGCATGCAGACGGGTCCCACACACCAACAACTTTTACTATGCTGCTATCCGTGCGAGTTTTGGCTCCTAAGTCAAGAATTCTGTCTATGGCACCCTGAAGATAAGAGCCGACCGATTCTTTTAACAGGCTTCTACGGGATAATTGCGGGTTTTGCACGGGTCAAAATACTGGTTCTGAAAAAGTTGTTTTTTGTTAACCACTCCCAGAGTTTGTAGGAGATAAATACGAATTCTATGTGTGAATGAAAACCAACTTGTTTTCCATTACCGGACCGACTCAATGGGGTTTGTTTTGGGTGGTATTGACATGAGCGAGGGATGACAATTAGCACGCAGCCCACCAACCAATAGTGTTGCCAGAATCAGATAGTAAGTAATCGGCATATGACCAAATAAATCCCAGACATGGTGAAATAAACACAGAAAAATTAAAGTTGGTGGTATATCCATGTATATTATATCCCAATTATATATATATATATCCATAGGAAATATGGGAATGCTATCGTTCATAGCAATTGGATCATTACCCTCTGGTAAACTAACATAACTATGGAAAATTACCATGTTTAATGGGAAAATCCACTATAAATGGCAATTTTCAATAGCTTTTTGTTAGTTTACCAGAGGGTACCCCATTCCCATCCTACGTCCTACGTTTCGCCCAGGATTGCACCTGGACAGGAACCGCCTGTGCCGAGAAGGTGGACATGGGGGAAAATGTGGGCCGCTGGCTGTCCCATTTGGCGAAAACCTGGGAAAATGTCAGCTTCACATGCCCAGGTGCTCCATGTATGGCATATTTACCTACATTTGGTTGATTTTTGGGGTAAATGCTGTAGGTAAATATTCCATACATGGAGCATATGGGATGGAAAAAACCGCGGAGAAATGGCAGGGAACTTGTTTTTTTTTTAATCTTTTGTTTTTTCACTCATATTTTAAGATCCAAAAAGTGCTTTGGATGGGATTCTAGAAACGAAGAATCGGGATCTACACACCTTAAAGTTAACGATGTGAACCCGAATGCTTTTGAATCTCGAATGGACCATAGAATAAGAAATGTACGACTATGGGATCCAAGAATTCCATGTTCAATCTCGCTGATGAGGGACACATGCAGGGGGCCTTGACAAGCGAGGACATCGGAGCTTCCTCATACCCCCCGCCCAAACCGTGGTGCAAAAACTTCCCAGCTCTGACTTGGTGTATAAATTCCTTTAACTATAGTTGTGTTATGTTGTGTAAACATCCATAAACCATCATCAACCCTAGTCAACCTATGTCAACCTTAAGTTGGTATAGTAACTTGGCTCTCAAAATGGGCCTCATCCTGCCACCTGAGGCCATGCAGCCCGCAGACAAGGACGAGTCCAGCGGTGTATCTTGCGGCTCCCATCGGGCCGCAGATTGCAGTCAATGTGACTCGAGAAAAAACACCAAACATGGGGATGTAAGCATTGAACATTGGGATTTCCCATGCGATATCAATGGGGATAATTACTTCAAGTATCTTCAAGACTTTTTTTGGTGTGTGTCTGTGTGTGTGTGTGCATAGCCACCATGGAGGATGATATGGATGGCTAAAGGGTATAAACCAGCTATTTTCTGATATGTTTTGAGGTTTTTTCCCCACCTGCCAGGTGAGGGTTGTTAGATTTTATGTCAGTTGCCTCCTCCTCCTGCCTCCTCCTCCTGCCTCGTCCTCCTCTCCTCCTCCTCCTCTCCTCCTCGTCCTCCTCGTCCTCCTTGTCATCCTTGTCGTCCTCGTCGTCCTCTCGTCCTCGTCGTCCTCGTCGTCCTCGTCGTCCTCGTCCAACTGCGACCCGCGATCCACAGTGTTCTCTGCCGGACCTCAACCACGACCATCCACGCCCAGTGTTCCCTGCCGGACCTCAACCACGACCAGCCACGCCCAGTGTTCCCTGCCGGACCTCAACCACGACCAGCCACGCCCAGTGTTCCCTGCCGGACCTCAACCGCGAGTATCCACGCCAAGTGTTCCCTGCCGGACCTCATGTAGGAAGATATGGGACAAAGAATGTGCAGAAGAAAGTTAGAATGTCAGAAAGAATGTCAGAAGATATGCCAGAAGATATGCCAGATAGAATGCCAGAAGATATGTCAGAATATATGCCAGAAGATATGCCAGATAGAATGCCAGATAATATGCCAGAAGATTTGCCAGATAGAATGCCAGATAGAATGCCAGAAGATTTGCCAGATAGAATGCCAGAAAATATGCCAGAAGATATGCCAGATAGAATGCCAGATGCCAGAAGATATGCCAGATAGAATGCCAGAAAATTTGCCAGATAGAATGCCAGAAAATATGCCAGAAGATATGCCAGATAGATATGTCAGAATATATGCCAGAAGATATGCCAGAAGATATGCCAGAAGATATGTCAGAATATATGCCAGAAGATATGTCAGATAGAATGCCAGAAGATATGTCAGAATATATGCCAGAAGATATGCCAGATTGAATGCCAGAAGATATGTCAGATAGAATGCCAGAAGATATGCCAGATAGAATGCCAGAAGATTTGCCAGATAGAATGCCAGAAGATATGCCAGATAGAATGCCAGAAGATATGCCAGATCATATGCCAGAAGATATGCCAGATAGAATGCCAAATAGAATGTCAGAAGATATGTCAGATAGAATGCCAGAAGATTTGCCAGTAAGAAAATGTATAAATGTCATGGTGGGGATCACACGAAGTAAAGTAATTCTTTTTTTAACACTATGTGATATATGGTTTTGTTTCCAAGGATGGTGGATACCCCAGCCTGCATTCTTTAAAAGTGGGAAAAGCATGGATCAACCCTATTTTTTTCACGTCATCATTTCATCCAAAGAGCAGGGAATGTATGAAAAAACTGGAAACGTGGTGATTTTTTAATTGAAGTGCAGTGTACCGTATACCTCTAAACACCAGCGGCTGGTTTCTTGAACATAGGTGAACACAAGCTTCGATGTTGAACATTGGGCATTTTTATCTAGCGGTTCGGCAGCTAGATCAATTTTCAGGGGCAGAGATCTCTAGAGGCTTGTTTTTAACTAGGTTAACTATACTTTATAGCAGTGTATGGCTGTGTATGGTAGACTAATTACCTATAGATATCTTTAGTTCATGGGGTTGATACACCAACAATCACAACGCTGTGCGGTTACCATGGGCCAGTGCAACCATGTGCTGGCCCAACGCTGTGCGGAAACAGAACCAATGGACCAATGGGGACATGTTCACTACTGGTACTGGCCGGTGGGCCCCCCAGTAAGTTATGTTGCAAAATAAGACCATCAGAAACTATACTTCGATAAATCCACCATGACTATATACCCTCTGGTAAACAAACATGTCGCGACATAGCGACATTGAAAATTGCCATTTATATAGTTCGTTCATTTACCCAGCTAGAACATGGTGATTTTCCATAGTTTTTGTATGTTTACCAGGCCGGGTAGTTCGATATATCCACCCTGACCCCCAACAATGAAGTGTTTTTGTGTTTGTTTGTTCTTAGCTTATTTCAATTTATCCCAAATATAAATCCATCAAGTCCCATTGTTCATTGGTAAATCCGTAAATGGCAGCATGGTGCCCCCCAGTTATGTTTGCTGGTTTATGAACCCCATGAATACTATAGCTATCAGTGATAAGGTTGCTTATAAAGCCCATGAAAACTAGTCCGCTATATCTACCATAAACCATAGAATTCAGCCACAGCCATATCTCACCTTACCCTCTGGTAAACATACAAAAAACTATGGAAGATCACCATGTTCTAGCTGGCTAAATCAAGGGACTTTCTATGGCCATTTTCAATGTCGCAAACTGTTAGTCATTACCAGAGGGTAAATCCCAGTAATATCCCATTGAATCACTATAAAATCCCATTGAATCACTATAAAATCCCATTGAATCACTATAAAATCCCAAAATTACCAGAGGGTAGCTACCTTGGGGCCTCCTGGTTTCGTTTCTCAGGTCCCCAGGGTCATGGTGATGGATGGTGCCACGGTACCTCGAACGGCACTATTTCACCAACGACGTTTATGGTGGATTTGATGGTACTATGCCTGTTCTGTTGGCTACCCTCTGGTAAACTGACCATAGCTGTTGACAATGGCCATAGAAAGGTCGTGGATTTTCCCAGCTAGAAAATTGTGATTTTCCATAATTATGTTAGTTTACCGGAGGGTAATTATTGGCATAATATTTTGCAATGATTGGATGTTATATGATGTAATGTATGGTTCCTATGCCATAATGGGGTATAATGTAATTTTGTTTATGATCATGCAAGATTATGCCTCACGCATTTAAATGCATTTAACCAATCAATGGTTTTTGTTTGAACGATTGTGATCGTTATTTAACATAGCGATATTTAAGGCTATTGGCTATTGGGGACGGTTTATAACATTGGGTTTACCACATGATTTTTCAATTACCCTTTGTTTATGACTCGCAGTTTGCTGTGGTATAGATGGCCCATGTTTCTTGATTTATGGTGACTTGCCTATGCGGCGATTTTCCAGTTCCCTGCTTGAAATAACCACAAGGTAATCAGATACTTATTTCCAACTTTTGAACACCAATGGTAGGCCAAACATAGATTCATGGTGGAAACTTTGCCCCCAAACATAGGGAATTCAAGCACACATGGATATTTGTGTTACTGTAATGTTTGACATAAAAGCGACACGGATGGCAATTTGAGTTCCGCATGGTCGTTTGGTTTTTAGTATGTGTGCATTTGTGTGCGTGCGTGATTCTTTTTGGATTGGCATGCTATGTTGGACTACAGTGCCAGAGGCAAAATGACGTGTTATGGTGCAGCAAATTGTCCTGATTAGGTAATTTTAGTAATTGCAGCATATATATATATGGTTCATCAATCCAAAAGATTTCTATTTCCACTATGGTTGCTTCTTTTGGGATGACAAAACCCATATGGTTGCTTGTATAATTGTATATGTTATATATATAAACATATTAGATAACATGTTTATACCCACTAAATTTTCATCACTGTACTCAGGATAAAATCCCATCAATGATGTTTGGACTCCCATGTCATTGGACGACCATAATTCATACAATCATGTTATGTTGGTGAATTGCATCTCAGTATATCCCATGATCTCAAATCCCTTTATAACCGCATTCTATTGGTGAAATATATTATAAGTAGTGATATCCCAAAACATGTATATATAGAAACCCCATTAGTTCCCGTAGATCACTATTTAGACGTTGTAGTTTAAGCAGTAACACCCTATAGAAATCATCCTCCCAAACCCCTCTGACATATAATTTATGTGACATCCGCCCAAAAACATATAGAACTTATTTTTTGAAAATTAAGCTCATTAGTTCCCATAAACATTTCATTATATAATTATCATCACATATACAGTAGATAGTTAAAGTAGCGAAGTTCCCAAACATAATCTGGAAATTCCCATTGGCTTCCCAAATAAAGATCTAGTCATATATATATATATTTATATTGTATTTTGAGTTTCAGTTTAAGGAGGAGTGACATCCCCAAAAAGCCTGGATATTGCCATGTTGCCATTGGATTTCTATAAAGATCTCATCCTTTGAGGCCAAGAAATAAGCGATTGCCCATTCCGAGGCGATTGCCTCTGGCTCCACGAGGCCTGTGTTTTGGCCACGCCGGAGCATCGCGCGGCCGCAGAGAAGGCCCTCACCGGGGGCAACGGATGTCCTTGGTGACTTGGGGCTACCCCAGTCGTCGCCATGGTTGTTTTACGAAGTTAAGGTCATCCATTGTCAGGACGCCTGGATGATTTGCGAGACCCCTATGACTTAGGAAAAACTTCCACTTGGTTCACCTCCACTTAAGTTGTCAAAAGTCGAAACCTTCCAACATTGCAGAAACATTCAATGATTATTGCAGCAACGAACTGGCATGATTCTCATAAATGCGTTGGATCATGTGGGGGGGGCTATTTCAGGAAACCCTTGTTTATGATATTATATGATATGTATATGTAAAACTATGTACTGATTTCTTGTTGGTGGGGTATAACTATGAAATCATTTTTTATATTCACATACTCTAGGTTAAATAAACTTAGCCCTAGAAAACGAATATGTGCAAAACAAAGTCATGTTAGGATAACTTGGTTTTTGAAGCATTTTGAAGCATTTTGACACAGGTCTATGTTAATATTCTTAATTACAACGAAATCTTAGACAAAACCTCTAAAAGTCTTCATTGACAGCATTTACAACAAACATCTCAAAAACCTATGTTAGGATACCTTTTTGAACCAACCACCACACACGTGCTATGTTAGTACACCAAAGTTCCGTGCAGAACAAAGTCATGTTAGGATAATTTGGTTTTTGAAGCATTTTGACGCAGGTCTATGTTAATTGCCTGATTCTCCAACGGAATCTGAGACAAAATCTCTAAAGGTCTTCATTGCTATGTTAGTTTATAAATGGGCCATTTTCCACAAATCCATGGATTTACCCTCTGGTATATTAACATAGACCCTGGCAGACAGGGGTTGGAAGATTCATGTCTTTCAGGGTCTATGTTAGTTTACTAGGGGGGTACCATCTGGTTATGACTAACATAGCCATGGAAAAACTCTTATAAATGGAGGTTTTAATGGGAAAATCATCTATAAATGTGCCATTTTCCACAAATCCATGGATTTACCCTCTGGTATATTAACATAGACCCTGGCAGACAGGGGTTGGAAGATTCATGTCCATTAAAAAATAGTGATTTTCAGGGTCTAGGTTAGTTTACTAGGGGGTACCATCTGGTTATGACTAACATAGCCATGGAAAATCCCTTATAAATGGAAGTTTTAATGGGAAAATCATCTATAAATGGGCCATTTTCCACAAATCCATGGATTTACCCTCTGATATATTAACATAGACCCTGGCAGACAGGGGTTGGAAGATTCATGTCTTTCAGGGTCTATGTTAGTTTACTAGGGGGGGTACCATCTGGTTATGACTAACATAGCCATGGAAAATCCCTTATAAATGGAGGTTTTAATGGGAAAATCATCTATAAATGTGCCATTTTCCACATCCATGGATTTACCCTCTGGTATATTAACATAGACCCTGGCAGACAGGGGTTGGAAGATTCATGTCCATTAAAAAATAGTGATTTTCAGGGTCTATGTTAGTTTACTAGGGGGGTACCATCTGGTTATGACTAACATAGCCATGGAAAATCCCTTATAAATGGAGGTTTTAATGGGAAAATCATCTATAAATGTGCCATTTTCCACAAATCCATGGATTGACCCTCTGGTATATTAACATAGACCCTGGCAGACAGGGCTGGAAGATTCATGTCCATTAAAAAATAGTGATTTTCAGGGTCTATGTTAGTTTACTAGGGGGTACCATCTGGTTATGACTAACATAGCCATGGAAAATCCCTTATAAATGGAGGTTTTAATGGGAAAATCATCTATAATGGGCAATTTTCCACAAATCCATGGATTTACCCTCTGGTATATTAACATAGACCCTGGCAGACAGGGGTTGGAAGATTCATGTCCATTAAAAAATAGTGATTTTCAGGGTCTATGTTAGTTTACTAGGGGGTACCATCTGGTTATGACTAACATAGCCATGGAAAATCCCTTATAAATGGAGGTTTTAATGGGAAAATCATCTATAAATGGGCAATTTTCAAAAAATCCATGGATTTACCCTCTGGTATATTAACATAGACCCTGGCAGACAGGGGTTGGAAGATTCATGTCCATTAAAAAATAGTGATTTTCAGGGTCTATGTTAGTTTACTAGGGGGTACCATCTGGTTATGACTAACATAGCCATGGAAAATCCCTTATAAATGGAGGTTTTAATGGGAAAATCATCTATAAATGTGCCATTTTCCACAGATCCATGGATTTACCCTCTGGTATATTAACATAGACCCTGGCAAACAGGGGTTGGAAGATTCATGTCCATTAAAAAAAAAGTGATTTTCAGGGTCTATGTTAGTTTACTAGGGGGTACCATCTGGTTATGACTAACATAGCCATGGAAAATCCCTTATAAATGGAGGTTTTAATGGGAAAATCATCTATAAATGGACAATTTTCCACAAATCCATGGATTTACCCTCTGGTATATTAACATAGACCCTGGCAGACAGGGGTTGGAAGATTCATGTCCATTAAACAATAGTGATTTTCAGGGTCTATGTTAGTTTACTAGGGGGGTACCATCTGGTTATAACTAACATAGCCATGGAAAATCCCTTATAAATGGAGGTTTTAATGGGAAAATCATCTATAAATGGGTCATTTTCCATAAATCCATGGATTGACACTCTGGTATATTAACATAGATCCTGGCAGACAGGTGCTGGAAGATTCATGTCCATTCAAAAATAGTGATTTTCATGGTCTATGTTAGTTTACTAGGGGGTACCATCTGGTTATGACTAACATAGCCATGGAAAATCCCTTATAAATCGAGGGTTTAATGGGAAAATCATCTATAAATTAAATGTGCCATTTTCCACAAATCCATGGATTTACCCTCTGGTATATCAACATAGACCCTGGCAGACAGGGGTTGGAAGATTCATGTCCATTAAAAAATAGTGATTTTCAGGGTCTATGTTAGTTTACTAGGGGGGTTGGTGGTGGTACCATTGGTTATGACTAATATAAGCCATGGAAAATCCCTTATAAAATGGGGTTTTAAGGGGGTGAAAATATCTATAAAGCGGTCATTTCCATAATAATCCACGGGATTGACCATCTGGTATATAATAATAGAACCATGGCAGACAGGTTGCTGGACGATTCATTTCCATTAACAAAATCGTGATTTTCATGGGCTATGTTAGTTGACTAGGGGGTTACCATCTGGTTATGACTAACATAGCCATGGAAAAATCCTTTATAAACGAGGGTGTTTGTTGTTTTTTAATGGGAAAAATCATATATAAATGTGCCATTTTCCACAAATCCATGGATTACACTATGGTTACATCAACATCGGACCCTGGCAGGACAGGGGTTGGAAGATTAATGTCCATTAAAAAATAGTGATTTTCAGGGTCTATGTTAGTTTACTAGGGGGTACCATCTGGTTATGACTAACATAGCCATGGAAAATCCCTTATAAATCGAGGTTTTAATGTGAAAATCATCTATAAATGGGCCATTTTCCACAAATCCATGGATTGACCGTACCATCTGGTTATGACTAACATAGCCATGGAAAATCCCTTATAAATGGAAGTTTTAATGGGCAAATCATCTATAAATGGGCCATTTTCAAAAAATCCATGGATTTACCCTCTGGTATATTAACATAGACCCTGGCAGACAGGGGTTGGAAGATTCATGTCCATTAAAAAATAGAGATTTTCAGGGTCTATGTTAGCTTACTAGGGGATACCATCTGGTTATGACTAACATAGCCATGGAAAATCCCTTATAAATCGAGGGTTTAATGGGAAAATCATCTATAAATGTGCCATTTTCCACAAATCCATGGATTTACCCTCTGGTATATTAACATAGACCCTGGCAGACAGGGGTTGGAAGATTCATGTCCATTAAAAAATAGTGATTTTCAGGGTCTATGTTAGTTTACTAGGGGATACCATCTGGTTATGACTAACATAGCCATGGAAAATCCCTTATAAATGGAGGTTTTAATGGGAAAATCATCTATAAATGTGCCATTTTCCACAAATCCATGGATTTACCCTCTGGTATATTAACATAGACCCTGGCAGACAGGGGCTGGAAGATTCATTTCCATTAAAAAATAGTGATTTTCAGGGTCTATGTTAGTTTACTAGGGGGTACCATCTGGTTATGACTAACATAGCCATGGAAAATCCCTTATAAATGGAGGTTTTAATGGGAACATCATCATGGGCAATTTTCCACAAATCCATGGATTTACCCTCTGGTATATTAACATAGACCCTGGCAGACAGGGGTTGGAAGATTCATGTCCATTAAAAAATAGTGATTTTCAGGGTCTATGTTAGTTTACTAGGGGGGTACCATCTGGTTATGACTAACATAGCCATGGAAAATCCCTTGTAAATGGAAGTTTTAATGGGAAAATCATCTATAAATGGGCAATTTTCAAAAAATCCATGGATTTACCCTCTGGTATATTAACATAGACCCTGGCAGACAGGGGTTGGAGGATTCATGTCCATTAAAAAATAGTGATTTTCAGGGTCTATGTTAGTTTACTAGGGGGTACCATCTGGTTATGACTAACATAGCCATGGAAAATCCCTTATAAATCGAGGTTTTAATGTGAAAATCATCTATAAATGGGCCATTTTCCACAAATCCATGGATTGACCGTACCATCTGGTTATGACTAACATAGCCATGGAAAATCCCTTATAAATGGAAGTTTTAATGGGCAAATCATCTATAAATGGGCCATTTTCAAAAAATCCATGGATTTACCCTCTGGTATATTAACATAGACCCTGGCAGACAGGGGTTGGAAGATTCATGTCCATTAAAAAATAGAGATTTTCAGGGTCTATGTTAGCTTACTAGGGGATACCATCTGGTTATGACTAACATAGCCATGGAAAATCCCTTATAAATCGAGGGTTTAATGGGAAAATCATCTATAAATGTGCCATTTTCCACAAATCCATGGATTTACCCTCTGGTATATTAACATAGACCCTGGCAGACAGGGGTTGGAAGATTCATGTCCATTAAAAAATAGTGATTTTCAGGGTCTATGTTAGTTTACTAGGGGATACCATCTGGTTATGACTAACATAGCCATGGAAAATCCCTTATAAATGGAGGTTTTAATGGGAAAATCATCTATAAATGTGCCATTTTCCACAAATCCATGGATTTACCCTCTGGTATATTAACATAGACCCTGGCAGACAGGGGCTGGAAGATTCATTTCCATTAAAAAATAGTGATTTTCAGGGTCTATGTTAGTTTACTAGGGGGTACCATCTGGTTATGACTAACATAGCCATGGAAAATCCCTTAAAAATGGAGGTTTTAATGGGAAAATCATCTATAAATGGGCCATTTTCCGCAAATCCATGGATTTACTCTCTGGTATATTAACATAGACCCTGGCAGACAGGGGTTGGAAGATTCATGTCCATTAAAAAATAGTGATTTTCAGGGTCTATGTTAGTTTACTAGGGGGTACCATCTGGTTATGACTAACATAGCCATGGAAAATCCCTTATAAATGGAGGTTTTATGGGAAAATCATCTATAAAAGGGCCATTTTCCACAAGTCCATGGATTTACCGTACTAGATTTTTGTTTGCAAATCCAAATTGCTTTGACCATGGTTAAGTGTGTAGAAGCATGTGAAGCACAAGAATTGTTAGAAGCTAAGACGTCACTGGTGATGGAAGTATACTAACATAGACTTAATTGAAATTTGCTGTGAAACCTTGCACAATGCCAAATGCTCCCAAACATCAGGTATGAATCAGGTGATCAGGTCTACGTTTGTGGTCTTCACAGCTGTTGCGTTGCAAAGTGCAGGTATGTAAATGCATTTCAATCAAGCTGTCATGCCTCCATTTTTCCATGTTTTGTATCATGATAGCCAACATGGCTGGATTTTGTAGGTCTATGTTAGCTGAAATCTGAGTTGCAGCCTGTTTTTTCGTTGCTCACGTGTATGGCAAGGCTACCCCCTTAGGTCTATGTTTGTTTAGTGGTATTGCTTTTCTAGGTCTAAGTTTATTTAAGGTAGTGTATATATATATAATATATGTTGGTATAACATTGTATAATATTATCTATTGTCTTTTGATGTCTACATGATTTCTTGGGACGATATAGGAAGGTCTCCTATAAAACGGGCATCCGAGTCAGTAGACAATGTTTAGTTTTCAAAGCCATGGTGACTTGGGAAGCCTCTATTTTAAGACACCTCCATCTATACATATATATATATATATACATATTATATATATATTGTACATATATATATATATATATATTGTACATATATATATATACTATTAGATTATATCATGATATCACTATGTATTGCTTTGTGTGATTGCTATTCAGGTTAGTGCTACAAGGTGGTGTGGCAGAGTTAGCTAAGTTGGGTATAATTTGGTAAACTACTGTATGATTTATATGGATGTTTATGGTAGGTATTAGCTATATAGCTTTATCGAAGGAAGTTTAGAAGTCAAACTTCTGACAATATGGACAGATGAAAAGCAGAGATGGGAAGAGTCAGAGAGAAGAGAAGAGTAGAAGAGAGAAGATTAGAGAAGAGAAAGAGTCAGAAGAAAGAAGATGCAGATGCGCGAAAAGGTAGGAAAGTCGCGAAACACTGTGCTTTTCCAATGATTTGTGGCTCCGGAGGGTCGAAAAGTAGGCTCGCTAAAGCGGCGGGTGCGGAGCCATCTGGCCAGATGAGAGATGAAAAATTGCACGCCGTTGTGGCGCGAAGCCAATTTCGAAGTCAAAGTGTACAAAGCACACAATTCTCGGACCACTTTTGGAAGTTGAGATGTCGAAAAAGTGCACGCCGGTGTGACGCGAAGCACATTTCGATGTCAAAATGTACAAAAACACAAGGTTTTGGGACTACTTTTGGACGTTCAGATGTTGTTCCGTGTGGCAGGCGCAAGGGACTGTGGACCTTGTCAAAAAGTGAGCAAAACGTGAAGGTGTTGTAGCATTTTCAACTACAACCACCACTACACCACACTACACTCCAATACACCACACTACAACTACAACTACACCTTCGCTACATTCCACTATACTACACTCTACTACACTCCACTAACCTACACTCAATTACATTCAATTACACTACACTACACTACACTACACTACACTCCAATACACTACAGCTACAACTACACCTTCACTAAATTCCACTACACTACACTACACTCAATTACACTCAATTACACTACGCTACATTCCATTACACTACATTACACTACACTCCACTACACTCCACTACACTACACCCCACTACACTACACTACACTACACTGAATGACACTGCACTACACCTACAACTACAACTACAACTGCAACTGTAACTACACTACATTGCATTACGCTACACTAATGACATTACACTACACTATGCTACATCACACTACATCACACTAACTACAACTACAACTACAAAAGACTCCACTACACTACACTGATTACATTACCCTACCCTGCGCTGCACTACACTACACCCCGCTCCACTACACTACACTACACTAATTGCAGTACACTACACTACACTTCACTACACTACACTACACTACGCCACACCACACCACACCACACCACACCACACTACTCTCAATTACACTACACTACACTACACTACCCTACCCCACATTGCATTACATTACATTACATTACATTGCACTACACTGATTGCACCACCACAAATGCAACTGCAACTACACTTTTAATTGCACTACACCACAACTACAACTCCACTACACACAACTACAACTACAGCTGCACTACACCACACTACATCCAGCAGTTGTGGGTGAGGTGGCCGACCAGGTGACCACTGCAACCATTGCAGCCACTCCAAAACACACAGCTCGAACCACCTTTCGGTCCATCAGTGGATTCGCTCTGCCATCCGTGATTCACAACAACCAATCTCTCCTATAGGTTTCCTATTGAAACTTCCGCCACCGCCTTGCGCGGTACTACTGGTAATCGAGGTTATATCCCAACAGACATAACTGTTTTAACTGAGGGTCCGCCTTGTATTACTGGCAATAGATTTTTGGGGGTGCCTAGAAACCGGAAATGGTTAATATCTCTATTCAATGGGGGGCTATGAGGAGCTTATAATGAAGAGCCAAGAAGCAAACTGTAGTTGTAGCGGTATTACGTTCGTGACCCGAAAAAAGAAGAATAAACCAATAAAAATCCGATACAACATAATTACTACGTTTCAGCATGTGGAATGGTATCTCTGCCAGCAAATCATGGATAAAACCAGGATTTCCACGAAGTTTTCAGAATACAACCCTCATAGAATTGAAAAATACTTTTTCAGGTTTCAACTCATGGCATGAGATGTCACCAGACATGGATATTTCAGATGATTTGAAGTGAATCAATCAACGATCTCACGTCGCGACATCACTGGAATGATGCTTTCTGTACTGGCAGCAATCCCAAAATCGTCAAACTGTTCAGGTGAGTAGACAATAATTTTTATCCAGATTTGAAGAAATGTTGGAGTATTTGGGTGCTGCACCCCTTGTCAGATTTCAACCGAAAGCTGCTCCTTTGTCTTCCAGGAGCATCAAAAGCTTCAGTCGATTCCTCGGCTTCGCAGCTTTCAGCGTTTGGGCCCCTTGGAGCATATATTCAAGCGCTCGGAAGTAACCTCCAAGCAGTTTCTTGTTTGATGCACGATAACCAGTTTTGCGGAGGAAATCCTTTGTTTCCTCCATATTTTTATAGTTTTACATAGTTATACTGTATAATCTGTTAAAAACATTATAAAACATCCTTTAAATTTCGAGTGAACAGAAGATGAAGATAGCGAATGTTTGTTCGAAGGTTAGCTGCGGCCATGGGGCCCACCTGCCACAGCAGCCATTCTTGAAGGTGTGGGGCTTGCCAGCCGTCAAAAATGGTGGATTCAAAATCAGATCACCCCAATTCTTTAAACTATAAAAGGCGGTGTCCCAGTTCATCTAACTATACGTTTATGACCGCTTATGGTAGATCGTTATTAGTTCAGGGGGCTAAAGATGGCAGCAACTTATGGGAGGCCCCTTACAGAAATATGTTTCAAAGGTAAGTACTTTGGTCTTAGATTTTCACCAGAAAGACGTGCATAGCTGCCACTTTTCATAGCTAAATCATGGAACTGAATTTTTGGGCCATGCGGCCATGCTCCATGTTCATGCTTTAAGCCCAGCTATAGCATTGAAATATGTCGGTCATTGGGAGATGGACAAAAAATGACTCCACGCCTTCCGCAGATTTTCACAGCTTCGGGCTGGGGCCAGCTGAGGGCATCCCGCGAAAAAAAAAACCGACTGGCCTGGCATCAGAACATGCTGGGGCTGTGCATACATTGCTTGAAGAAAACAGATCAAAACAGATGCTTCAAGCTTACAAGCAACTCAGTCAACTGGCATTGTGACTGTTTGCATGTCAATTATGGGTTTGGGACAGAAGATGCGATTGACTGACTTTAACATTGTTCTTAACTATGGGCTGCAGCCACAAGAAGAAATCTAAATCATGACCGGGTCAATCCTGGTTGCCACCACGGTAGGCAATAACCCTATGCAGACTTTTATGGAAGCCTAGGTGCTGATTGTCGACCACGGTGGCAACTGGGATCCCCAGGGGGCAACGGCGTTTTTCCCTGTCAAGAGGGCCATAGAAAGATTTTCACGAGCCGTGACAAGCCACGAGCGAGCCTGATGGCCAACGATTTGTTTGTCGACACTCGGGTGCAGCCGGTGCATGCTTGAGAGAAACGTTCAACCCACAAGAGGAACAATACCTTGGCAACTGATACCGTTAATGTTAATGTATCTCCAAGGGGCCCCATAGTGAGTTAGCCAAGTTGGGTTACAACTAATCACTAATCATTTAATTCATTGTAATTCTCTTTATTTTTATTTTAAAAAAACACACATATATATATATATTTATTATAGACACAATCACACACATATATATATATATACATAGCCAATGGGATTTCTAAGTTGTGAGTGGAGGGAACCACCATCATGTGCTAAACGACAACATGGCATCCCAAGTCCATCCAAGTCTAACAGTTTCCCCCTCTGAGATGTTCCCAATCACCGTTCACCTGGCAGTTCAAGTTGTGACTACGAAATGGGCCTATACAAAGTGACCATTTCGAGGGTTTCTTGGTGTCACACCAGGGGAATAAGCCACTTTGAATGGTCAATATATCGGAAATTTGAGTGACACGTCGCGACCACAGTTGGGCAATTGTCCATGATTTTCCCAGTTCCCAATCTCCAAAAGCTCCGAAGTTCCACAAAACGCAGGTATATCTCGCATTGAAATCCGTTCTATCGTATTGTATCAATACCCAGCCCAGACCCTCCATTTATACGCGTTTGTACGTATATACATGATGTTTCACCCATGTTTACCCCATATGTTTAGTATTTTGACCATTTTTCGAGGGCTATTTGGAGGCTTTTGTTTTTCCATACTTCAGGAGGAACAAAGTTTATGCTTCTTGAAAGCTTGACAAAGCATCCATCTCGGTCAACCGCGGATCACATTTCCAAGTCCATTTCGTGTGGCAGGTGTGGGACGGTCAATTATCACCTGCTTTTAAATCTATAAGATTAAAAGCTTTTGGAGGGTGGAAATTCGACCGGGGTACGACAAAGCTCCATGCTAGGATTCTAAGAGGGAAGGGTGTGCAGAAGAAGAAACCAAACATGTTCACCGTGGGAAGCTCAACAAGCGCAACTTTTGTCCTACCAGTGTATATTGGGAATAATCATCCCATTTGACTAATATTTTCAGAGGGGTCGGTATACCACCAACCAGTTATGCTTGGTGCAATTTGTTGGAGGCTTTAGGAATACTATAGCTACATTGCTACATGATATCGCCGGATCTCCAGGAACGACAATGGAAGGCTCTCTTGCAAAAGCTGCGGAGTTTTCCGCTGGATTGGCGCAACGACGAGGTGAACGCTCGGCGTTTGGACGCCCTTGGGAAGGAGGCCTTTGCGCCGCGGGGCATCGCGGGGCGGTCGTGTGACATTTATTGATATATTTGTTGGCTGTGAGCGAGATATTTGATATCTATATATATATATATATTTATCTATATATGGATATAAATATACCTATACATATATATGTATATATAAGTATATATATATATATATACATACAGATATCTATACATATATATATATACAGATATTTATATATATATGTATATATTACAGTGATATTTATAAAATTATATCTATATATAAAAGGATATTGAGATCATGGTATGGTAATCATGCCCTTTGGGATCCAAGTAGCTTCGGTGCTTGGATCCATCGGGATGGCATAAACATTGATTTACTGTGTATGTATATATACATATATGTATATGGTTGGTGGTCTGGAACATTTTAAATTTTCCATATATTGGGAATAATGATCCCAACTGACTAATATTTTTCAGAGGGGTTGAAACCACCAACCAGGTATATACACAAGTGATTATCTTACATTTACATACGCATATATTATCTATATGTTGTTTTTTTTGCGTATTTTCTGGGCTGGTGATATTGATTACTATCTATTTTCAGCGGATCCTCATTGGGATATACATACATGAGCCGGACATTTATGGATACTGATTTGGATTTTACATATATACACATATGGAATATGTATGCTTATATGTTGATATTTTTTCAGATATTTACTCGGATATGTATATGTATTTATACATACATATGCTTTTGTTATACATATATTTATGTTTTACATATTTCTACTGGGATATCCTTTGAGTATATATATATATAATTTAGATTCAGATATTTATCAGGATATTTCTTTACTAATTATATTAGAATATGTTATGATATTTAATTTCAATTGGTATATTGGGACCTAGTAAAAGCAACATTCTTGAGCATTAGTTTGTTAAGAATCCTAGATTTCTACTTTGTGGGATTGAAACCATCCTCATTGTTTGGAGGTGGAGGATGTTGATGGCATTGACTTATAGTCTATAGTATTGTACACGGTATATACCATCCGGTAATTCAACGTAATTAACTAGCTTTCGAACATGGCCCATTTACTTTGATGATTTACCTATTCATAGTGGTGATTTTCCAGTTCACTACATTACATTACCAGAAAGTAATCAGTTTGTGGGTTTGCAACAGGGTTGGAACCCCATTTGAAGACCGACCAGGCTTGAACTAGCACTGATTTCGACACCATCTTGCGTTTGTGAGCCTAATCAAAAAGATACACGTGAAACATCATAATATCATGCCAAAGCAATTGGACACAGTGATATCAGTGATTTATTTTTCATATATTTTTCATTATCCTTTCATGGTCTATACTGTGCCAATATTTTTTTTTTGAATCCAAAGCGTTTCTTTGTTAATGTGCTGCGCCCAGTGATGCTCACTGTGGTTGCTAACCAGTCACAGTATGCCTTTTTTTGTTTCGTGGTTAGCTCTCAATTTAGTGCCGCTTAAATCAGTGTAATCGTATCGAATGATATGGGCTCTAGCTGGTCGTAGCCCTGGTGTATCAGAACAAATACAGTGAACTCACTGTGACGTCACTGGAATTAAAGGCTAGGATTGAGGAGCCCCCAAAAGGTCGCAAGTTTCAACTACTTTCAGATTAGTGAATTATTACAATCAGCCAGGTGAACCCATATCCATCCAAGTCAGCAAGATGATTGGGTAACCCTCCTAGTTGAGACCGTCCCGTTTTTGGGCAGACTTGATCCATGCCGTTAGGACTTCCTTTCGGCCCATGAACATGGCCGTAAAATCGTGGGGGTACAGATTCACCAGACACCCACAGAGATCGTACTTGTCCCACTGAAAATAAACTTGTCATAATGCTCAAACTAACCGTATATACACAGTGTTACACATACATACATGTATTTATATACACATATATATATATATATATTTGCTGTAGTATCTATGTTTTTAATATTATCTATGTATGACCCATTGCCTCGTTAAATCTATAAAACTCACTTAAATACTTGACATTCTTTGGTTCACTCAGTAGGTCATTCTCCGTTATCCGCCCGTTGCGTCGTTGCGTGGGCCGCCAGGTACGGCTGTCCGATCTGTACGCTGCGTGTCCTTCCCTTCGGAAGCGCGTGGCGTCCCATGGAGGATTGGGACGGCTCTGGGTGGCCAGCCACCAGCCGCTTGGCACGCGCCGCTGAGTTATAGCCTGGTTGGTTACGAACTGGTTGGATTCCAAGTTGGATTATAACATTAGTTACAAGCCCCGGCCCCCATGAACTATAGATTTATGGTGTTTCCCAGTTATTGGAGATACTGCGGATGGTTGCGAAATCCTGCACCCGGGCAGCTATTGGGAACTACAAAACACTGTAAATTTCATGGGATTACATTGGGATGTTTACCATCTACTAGCTGGTGCAGGATTTCTTCTTCCATCCTCAGTAGGACTTGTTACAAGGATATTATATGATATTAAATGATATTATATGATATTAAATGATATTATATTATATGATATTAAATGATATTATATGATATTAAAGGATATTATATGATATTATATGATATTTGATGATATTAAATGATATTATATGATATTATATGATATTATTTGATATGATATGATATTATATGATATTAAAAGGATTTTAATGGGAATAACTGATGATAAGATAGAATTATAGGGGATATTATGATACTCCTAATTGACTCGGGATTTTTGAATATGTTTGATATGTATATATCATAGAATTGGATGATGGGAAAATTTACAGGAAAGCCCTATATTTGATGGTAAAAACCATGGTTTCCTGTAGATTTTCCCTTAAACCAACCCAATGATTATATATGTTTTAAATCACCGTAGGGATATTTTGGGTATTTTGAGTGGCTCATTTGGGATCACGTGGGTTGAATCCATTGGAGCCCCATAGTCAGATGATATTAGCATGCGTTAGCCACGTTACTAGTTGGTGTGTACATATATATATATATATATGTGTGTGTAATTTAATATATATATATATGTATATGTATATATATATATTTGTACACATATATGTATATACACACATATATGTGTATATATATATATATATTTGTGTGTGTGTCACTGGCGTGTATGGTCGCTATGTCTATAGTTCATGAGCTTTCTCAACCAACCTTAGAGGTCACTTGACCCTTGAAATGGTCACTGAACCTGGGCCCAAACAGGTGGAGTGACTTGAAACCCAGGTCATGAGAAGGTCTTTGTATTCAAAAACCAGGCAATTTCGGGGAATCATCCTGTTCATGGGGTAATCTATGTTAATATGTCCTTTGTTTGGGGGTGCTTCCATAGTTTTACAGAATATATGTAATCTTGGGGGAACCCCGGCCTGTGCAGGAAGTTACCAGTGGTCTATACCAACTCAACGACTCAACAACTAGGTTTTATGAACCCAGGGTTGGCATACGCAGCTTGTTTTGCAGTCATTAAGATCTTGCATGACCCTTGAGTTTTGTGTGACAAAGCAAACGTCCAGCATCTTGCCACTTGGATCAAGTCAGATCCAGAGATTTGTTGGTTTTAGGTCGTAATTGTTTTTTGTCAATTTTGCCTTAATCACCAAGTTTTACATAACCTGTTGATATCAATTACATAGATCATGCATTACACATTCTATATCGATATTGCATAAGGTTCCGTGCTTTGAATGGGTTTATCTTGATTGATTAAACTTGAGGTTTGCCATACGTTTGCTGGGTGAAACATTGAAATCATCAGATTTTCGATGCATTTGCAGTTCTCATTTTCACAACTCTGGTAAACTAACATGGATCATCCAATTTTACCCTGGATGATCATCCGGGCAGTAGTTAGCTTTCAGTAAATTGACAGCTCGGCCCTGAAAATCATCCAATTTTAAGTGGAGGACCTCACCTTCCAAGCCTTGCCGGGCGGGTCGTTTTTTTTGTCGTTGTGAACAGCGTTTGCAGGTGGGCGGTGGACAGTGAAGCGGCAGAAGTGCAGTTGCCCCGCGCCACGCAGAACATCGACATGTCCCAGGAGCCATTGGGTAAATAGTCGTTAATAGTGGTGAATAATGTTTAATAGTGGGAAATGATGGTTAAGAATGTTAACAATGGTTAATAGTGATTAATGATGGTTGAGACCCAAAACCTGGCAGGTGGGGAAGCACATTGACAATCCTGGTATCTGAAGATGTTTTTTCCTTACTTTTTTGGTTCTTGAAGCAAATGTTTTGGGTTGTCCATTTCCTATGGGAGAAAACTTGGATGCAGCTTTCACGCACAGCGACCTTTGTGAACCGTCATTGCCCAAGAACACAATGGCGATGTTAAAGATGATATGTATATATATAATGATACAATGATACGACTATGTAATCCCATCCCCCGTTGAATCAGCAACCCCCAGAGAGAAACCACGGTGATCCAAGGTCGATGTGGATGAGCTGCGTTCTAGAGCCAAGCATTTTGCGGATGACAACATGGTTATAAAATGGATACAAGCAAACACATGCAAAATGGACTAAAATGGATACCAACAGGCAAGTTCATAAATAACATGGACATAAATAATCGCATAAACATGGATATCGGTGGGATACACTGAAGAATATTTACTGGCTTCTCGGCAGCTGGGATCCAAAAAAGGCCAATATAGGCCACCATAGTGGGGAACATGATGATCAACCAGTGGAATTGTCCAAGATTCTGCATGGGGAGAAAAACATCCTGGGGGGGAATCATAACACGTTTGCATCGCGTCAGGTGATGTTCAAAGTCTCAAATGTGTTTGTCATCAATGCCCGGATTCATCGACCACCATTTATTGATATTGCCATTTTTTAAATTGTAATTGACCTGAATATATTTGATCACTTTTTGACCTATAGTTAATCACCAGGATTTAATGCCGGATTGGCATTTGGTGAAGGAATTTCTGTGGACGATTCTTTGGGGGTCCAACGTTTGGTGCTGCTGTACCGGCCCCACTAATCGTTCGTCATTTAATGTTGGATCCTGATTAGTGTGGGGGACCCCTCCTCCCCCGTAAACAATTCCTTGAGTCTCTTTAGTGTGGAAATTTCAAGGGACCGGGGTCTGAATAGTGTTGAAATGAAAAAAATGATAGATTTCAATAGATTTCAATTTACTTTCAGTTGATTTCAATTTACTTTCAATTGATTTTTAACTGATTTCAATTTTTATTCAATTGATTTCAATTGATTTTCAATTTACTTTCAATTGATTTTCAATTGATTTCAACTTACTTTCAATTGACATCCCATAGTAATCCCATAGAAATATCATGGAACTGCCATAGGAATCTCACAGAAATCCCATAAGAATCTCATAGAATTCCTGCAGGAATCCCATAGAAATATCATAGAAAGATCATGGAACTCCCATGGGAATGCCATAGGAAATCCCATAGAAACATCATAGAAATACCATAGAAATCTCATAGGAACCCAATGGGAATCCCATAACAATACCATTGAATTCCCATAGCATCCCTTCAGAAATCCCACAGAAATCTTCTAGAAATATCATAGAAACATCATGGAAATCCCATAGGAATCCAATGGAAATCCCATAGGCATCCTTTGAAACCCCATAGGATCCCATGGAAATACCATTGACACCCCATAGAACATTCCATAGTAGTCCCAGAGAAATATCATAGAAATACCATGGAAACCTTAAGGAATCCAATAGAAATCCCATAGAAATATCATAGAACCACCATAGAATTTCCAAAGAAACTTCATAGACACCCCATAGAATTCCCAAAGAAATCCTCTAGACATATCATAGAAATATATATTTTTTTTTAAAAAAATACCATAGTAATCTCATAGAAACATCATAGAAATCCAAAAGAAATATCATGTACATCCCAAAGAAATCCCATAGAAATTTCACTGAAACACCATAGGAATTCGAAGGAAATCCCATAGACATCCTTTTGAAACCCCATAGGAATCCCACAGAACTACCATAGACACACCTTTAGAAACATCATAGAATATCATAGAAACATCATAGAAATTACATAGAATTTCCATAGAAATTTTGCCAAATTCCCATAGAAACGCCATAGAAACCAAGGAGAGGATGCCAGGAGAATTGAACTAAGTAAGAGACAAAAGCTATAGCAAAGGAAAGGAAAAGGAAAGGAGAGAGTGATTTTGGAAAATGTTACTTCAAAAAAAAAGCTGGACACAATAGAGGACCACCACAACAAACATACTATTGAGGATCAGGGTTGCTCATGGACTACCCCCTTGAAAAATTGTTTGGATGGTGTTTTTTTGGTGTTTTAATAAGGCATCCTATATTTTGGGAAATTAAACGTTTTGAGAATTCCAAAGGAACGGGGCTAAGACAGTAAAAAAGAGAAAAGTATTATATAATGATTTTGGAAAATGTTTACTTCCGAAAAAAAACTGGACACAATAGAGGACCACCACAACAAACACACTATTGAGCATCAGTGTTGCTCATGGACTACTCCCTTGAAAAATTGTTTGGATGGTGTTTTTACTAGGGTTTTAAAAAGGCATCCTGTATTTTGGAAATTTAATATTTTCAGAATTCCAAAGGAATGGAGCTAAGAAAGTAAAAAAGAGAAAAGTATTAGCAAAGGAAAGGAAAAGGAAAGGAGACAATGATTTTGGAAAATGTTTACTTCCGAAAAAAAACTGGACACAATAGAGGACCACCACAGCAAACACACTATTGAGGATCAGGGTTGCTCATGGACTACTCCCTTGAAAAATTGTTTGGATGGTGTTGTTTTATTGTGTTTTCAAAGGGCATCATATATTTTGGGAAATTAAACATTTTGAGAATTCCAAAAGAATGGAGCTAAGAAAGTAAAAAAGAGAAACGTATTAGCAAAGGAAAGGACAAGGAAAGGAGAAAATGTTTTTTTACTTCCAAAAAAAAACTAGACACAATAGAGGGCCACCACAACAAACACACTATTGGGGATCAGGGTTGCTCATGGACTACCCCCTTGAAAAATTGTTTGGATGGTGTTTTTTTGGGTGGTTTTAATAAGGCATCCTATATTTTGGGAAATTAAACGTTTTGAGAACTCCAAAAGAATGGAGCTAAGAAAGTAAAAAAGAGAAAAGTATTGGCAAAGGAAAGGACAAGCAAAGGAGAAAATTATTTTGTTTTTCCCCACCTGCCAGGTGAGGGTTGTTAGATTTTATGTCAGTTGCCTCCTCCTGCCTCGTCCTCCTCCTCCTCCTCTCCTCCTCTCCTCCTCGTCCTCCTCGTCCTCCTTGTCATCCTTGTCGTCCTTGTCGTCCTCGTCGTCCTCGTCGTCCTCGTCGTCCTCGTCCAACTGCGACCCGCGATCCACAGTGTTCTCTGCCGGACCTCAACCACGACCATCCACGCCCAGTGTTCCCTGCCGGACCTCAACCACGACCAGCCACGCCCAGTGTTCCCTGCCGGACCTCAACCACGACCAGCCACGCCCAGTGTTCCCTGCCGGGACCTCAACCACGACCAGCCACGCCCAGTGTTCCCTGCCGGACCTCAACCACGACCATCCACGCCCAGTGTTCCCTGCCGGACCTCAACCGCGAGTATCCACGCCAAGTGTTCCCTGCCGGACCTCATGTAGGAAGATATGGGACAAAGAATGTGCAGAAGAAAGTTAGAAAGAATGTCAGAAGAATGCCAGAAGATATGCCAGATAGAATGCCAGAAGATATGCCAGATAGAATGCCAGAAGATATGCCAGAAGATATGCCAGATAGAATGCCAGATAGATATGCCAGATAGAATGCCAGATAGAATGCCAGAAGATTTGCCAGATAGAATGCCAGAAAATATGCCAGAAGATATGCCAGATAGATATGTCAGAAGATATGCCAGAAGGTATGCCAGAAGATATGCCAGAAGATATGTCAGAATATATGCCAGAAGATATGTCAGATAGAATGCCAGAAGATATGTCAGAATATATGCCAGAAGATATGCCAGATAGAATGGCAGAAGATATGTCAGATAGAGTGCCAGAAGATATGCCAGATAGAATGCCAGAAGATTTGCCAGATAGAATGCCAGAAGATATGCCAGAAGATATGCCAGATCATATGCCAGATAGAAGGCCAAATAGAATGTCAGAAGATATGTCAGATAGAATGCCAGAAGATTTGCCAGTAAGAAAATGTATAAATGTCATGGTGGGGATCACACGAAGTAAAGTAATTTTTACTGCCAAAAAAAACTGGACACAATAGAGGACCACCACAACAAACACACTATTGAGGATCAAGGTTGCTCATGAACAAAACTGTAAAAATTGAAAAAAACTTCAGACAACAGTTGGACACAATAGAGGACCACCACAACAAACACATTATTTAGGATCAATATTGCTCATGAAAAAACTGACAAATATTCAATTACTTTACTTCGAGTGATCCCCACCATGACATTTCAAAACAGCTTGTTGACACCACTTTTGTCCTGGCATTCTATCTGGCATTCTATCTGGCATATCTCCTGGAATATCTTCTGACATATCTTCTGGCATTATATCTGGCATATCTTCTGGCATTCTATCTGACATTCTATCTGGCATATCTTCTGGCATTCTATCTGGCAGATCTTCTGGCATTATATTCTGACATATCTTCGGGCATTCTATCTGGCATTCTATCTGGCATTCTATCTGGCATATCTTCTGGAATATCTTCTGGCATATCTATCTGGCATATCTTCTGGCATATTTTCTGGCATTCTACCTGGCAAATCTTCTGGCACTCTATCTGACATTTTATCTTCCTACATGCGGTCCGGCAGGGAACACTTGGCATGGATACTCGCGGTTGAGGTCCGGCAGGGAACACTGGGCGTGGATGGCCGTGGTTGAGGTCCGGCAGGGACCACT